GAGCAAGTACCTGGCTCAGCTTTTTGTCCACATTGGGAATTGAGTGAGGCCATGTATTCTACCTCTTCTTTTTATTAATTTTTGCTCTGACCCAACACATGAGTATATTACCCACAGAGACCAGAAGAGGGTACTGACTCCATTGGAATTGACGTTCAGGTAGTTGTGAGTCACCAGATGAGGGGATTGGGCCTTCTGGGATTGCAGTAAATGTTCTTAACCATTAAGACATCATTCCAGCTCTCTATGCATGGATGTTATGCCCTCATGTGTATATGCGTACTGGGGCATGACATCCCCACAGAGGCCAGAAGAGGGAGTTGAACCTCCCAGGACTGGAGTTACAGACAATTGTAAGCTGCCATATAGGTACTGGGAATTGAACCTGAGAGCAGAGAAAAGAAGTATAGAAAAGGTACGTGTGGTTTAGAGAGATGGCTCAGCAGTTAAGATCACTGGCTGCACTTTTAGAGGACCCAGGTTTGATTCCCAGCACCCACATAGGTCTATGATTCCAGTCTCAGGGGATCTGACACATTTTTCTGGCCTCTTTGGATACTAGGCATGCACATTAGCTACACAGACATAATTCAAGCAACTGTCCCTGCCAACAGATAAGGAGTCACATCAAGGCAAGCAAACAAAAGCTGCAGTGCTTTCCCTTAACTCCAGAATAAAGGCCAACAATCAGTTTTATGAACTCTGGGTGAGGATTCTCTACAAGGCAGCCATGTTGGCTTTCCTTTCAGTACCTCAAATTCAACTCATATTTCAACTCTTTTCTATCCTCAACTACGTGAGGAATCAGAATTATCCTTAGCCAGCTCATTTCTTCTCTCTCTCTCTCTCTCTCTCTCTCTCTCTCTCTCTCTCTCTCTCTCTCTCTCTCCAGGCTTTCACGTACTTTAGATAGGCCTGGAACTCACTATGCAGATAACACTAGTTTTCAAAGTCTGATCCTCTGCTTCTACCATCAAAGCACTGGGATTCCAGGAAGAAACCACCAGACCAGGCTTTGAGATCTCTAAAGCCTACTTTTACCCTCCACATTTGGTCACATAATACCTTTTGATAGTTCCCATAGCATCTGGTACTTCTCAACATTTTTTGGTTTTATCTTCCAGAGTTGAGCTCAAACCAGGGCCTGACACGTTAGATCAGCACTCTTCACCGACTCACATCCCGTGTCCCAAGTATTTGATACTTAGTTGTCACTTGGTGTGTTTGTAGATGCCTGCCTTTTGCAAAGGGCTGGAACTGCACCTATGTTATTACCCTTAGAATCGTTAGTTTCTAGCATTGTCTTTATCCCCAGTTAGATTGAAAGATGATTGAAGCATGAGCAGGGGATACAGCAGAGCTGTGGATCTCATGTAGACCAGGAAGGGACTCTTCTCCAGGGAGGAGGGTTAGAAATTAACAGAGTAGCTTGTTTCCTTTATTCGCATTTCTTCTTTCTCTTTTTACTCAGGTTTCTCTTTAGAAAGGCTAGGTCTGTGTTCTTGTTGTGAATCTCCCAATAAAATATAGAAGGAAGGTAGACTGTGATGACTAATCATGGCTGTCAGCTTGACTATATTTGGGATGAACTACAATCCAGAAATGGAGGGCACACCTGTGAGAGATTTTCTGTTTGGTTTGGAGTGGGTGAATCCTCTTCTAGTTCAGACCTTTGAGATAGGAAGACACACACCTTTGATCCAGATGTTGGGACAGGAAGACATATAAAATCTCAAGCTTAAGGCTAGAAGATACACACCTTTAATTCAAATCTTGAAGTGGGAAGACACACCTTTAATCTGGACCACACCTTCTGCTGTAAGTCTCTATAAAGTCAGGGAAGAAGGGAGATTTTGCTCTTTGCCTGCTTTCCTGCACCTTACTAGTACATCTATTCCTTCCCTGGGATTGGAGTCTACTTCTTTGGGATATTCCAGCACATACAGAAGAGCAGCTGGACAGCCAGCCTTGTGGGACTGAAAAACTACTAGATTCTTGGACTTTCTGTTCACAGGTAGCCATTGTTGAATTAGCTGGGAAATAGTCTGTAAGTCATTACAATAAGTGTATGTGATATATATATATATATATATATATATATATATATATATATATATAATAAATTCTATGACTCTAGAGAACCCTGACAAACACAGACTATATCTCCATTTTTCAAATGGGGGAAAAAAATCAAGGTTCAGAGACTAAAACTATTGCTTCTCTTCTCAAGGGAGTTTGGATGACTTTGAGTCACCATGAAACCTTGTGTTTTCTCTGTTTGACTTCAAAGTCTGTCCTGCCAATGAAACTATTTATCCTAAACCCTAAAACTGCCCACAGCCAGATGGTAGTTTAGTGCAATAACTGTTCCTTCTTAAGATGACAACATTCTCCAACTGTATAATGAAAACAAAACAGGATTTTAGTGTTACTAGTATCATCAAGTTCAACCTGTCTAGATCACTTCCACACCCCACACCCCCACTCTGCTCATGCTGGGGATGGAGCCCAGGCCCTCACACTGCTAACAGACATTTTTACACTAAGATACATGCACCTTGCCTGCCACAACCTTTTTAATATAACTCCTCAACAAGTGGTATTTTCCTTCAGACGCTGTTTTAGTTGTGTTACTAATGGTGACAAACACGTCTGTGACGAAGAGTTCTTCCTCACTAAGTGACCATCCTGTTCCATGACACTCCCTGTGCATGTGGGAGTTAACTCCACAGTGTAGTCAGTCCAGTGGGAGCTGAGTCAATGCTTGGGGCTCAGCCCAGGCTGATGTCATTTTCTGTCTCAGTCACCACCATGTAGCTCTTGAGCTTCTTAGTCATTTTAGCCAAATATGATGGAAATTACTAAAATGTTTATGTGATGCAGCTGATTTCTATGACAACAGAAATCATATAATGTAAGAACATTTTAAAACTAGAAGAATCATAAATATATGACCAAGAAAAGTTTCTGAGTCTGGCAGTGGTGGCACATGCCTTTAATCCCAGCACTCAGGAGGCAGAAGCAGATAGATCTCTGAGTTCAAGCCAGCCTGGTCTACAGAGTGAGTTCCAGGTCAGCCAGGGCTGTTACGCTGTTACACAGGGAAACCCTATCTTAAAAAAAAAAAAAAAAAAACAAAAAAACAAACAAACAAAAAAAAACAAGCACATAGAATATAGCAAATAATTAGAAAGCTAAAACGAGTGCATACACAATAAGCATGTCCCGAAAAACATCAAGCTTAGTTGCCAGTTACAAGAATTAGAGAAACAAACAAGTTAAAGCACTGTTTCTGGGGAGACCAGCTGGTGCCAGACATTCCACTGAGGAGTAAATTTGTTCAAGGCCACAAGTTCAATGGAAGCCTGATACAGAAACAACCCAAGAAATCTGAAGAGATATCTATAAAGCTATTCACATGATCCTCACTCTGCAGGTGAAGTTATATAGACCAATGGCTTCTTATCCTGCATTTCTTTAATGTTTTAGAGCTTAAATAATCAACATAATGTAGTAAACAATTAAAGAACTTAAATATTTTCATGAGTTCAGAGAGGAAGTCAAATGGTATCTTAGTTTATTCAAGGCATTTCCTCCCCCGTGTGTGTGTGTGTGTGTGTGTGTGTGTGTGTGTGTGTGTGTGTGTGTGTGTATCTAGGTATCCCTGGCTGTCCTGAAACTCACTATATAGCCAGGCTGGCCTCAAACTGCCTGCCTCTGCTTCTCTAGTGCTGGAATTAAAGGTGTGGACCATCACACCAGGTACTATTATTTGTTTTTTGTTTTTAAGACAGGGCACCAGCAGCCCAGGTCTATCTTGGCAAAAACAAGAACAACAGCCCCTTAAATTTAAATCTCAAAAAGAAAGAAAATACAACGTGGTTGATAATCTGTCGTGCTCTTTGAAGCTATGCCTTGAGAATAAATACCTTGTCATTTTAACGAGAGTTATCAGTTGTGTGACTTTGTAAACTCCTTAGGGTCTCCAGATCTCTGCTTCCTTACTTGATAAATGGTACATAGGACAAGCATTTCGGAGGTGGGAGCCTTTCTTCTCATAATCAGGATTTTTCAGCTTTCCCAGTACCAAGCACTTTGAGGGCTGCGCACTGTAATATGACTACACAGCAGCCTGGCCTCCACAGCTGCCCTTCAGTGTCTGGAGAACTCAGTATCACTGTAACCCAGTATCACTTCTCCAGAGAGAGCGGAAATGCTCCGATGCTGCGAAGTGCTGCAGGGCAGAGCTCACAATGCTCACCCTAAAAAATATGAGGGAGTCAGGCATGGTGGCACACATGTTTATTCCCAGTATTTGGAAGGCTGAGGAGGCCGAGGACAGCCTGATCTATGTAGTAAGTTCTAGAACAGCCACGGATATGTAGAGACCTTGTCAAAAAAAAAAAAAAAAAAAAAAAAAAAAAAAAAACAAAAGTCCAGACGTGGTAGGATGAGTGGCCCCCAATTCAAGTTTCTAAAAGACAGGAGCCATGTCTCAGACATTTGGGAATCAGGGGCTGTGATCCTCAGTGAGCCTAAATCCTGGTTAATGGACTTCATGTGAGGGGAGAAGACAGAGGGGAGCAATGAGGCAGGAGCCTGAGGGCTCCGAGGATCAGAGGAACCACAGTGGTCATCTCAATGCGCTGCTTATACGCCTAGGAATTTATTTTTAGATAAGGAGTGAGAGTGACAAGTGGCACAAGGGCACAGCGAGCAAGGGGCGCTCCTGGAAGGTAAACTGGTGACGCAAGCCTTGCTCGGGTCCTAGCAGCACAGAGTCGCCTAGGAGACCGCGGAGCCCCGCCCCGTCTCCGGAGCCCCGCCCCCATCGACCTTCGTTGCGCCTCAGAGCCCCGCCCCGCCCCCGAGTCCCTGAGTGGTGTGCGTGGCGCGGCCTCCGCGTGCGCAGCTGGTGCGTGAGGGCGGGGCAGGGCGGAGGCGTTGGTCCCGCCACGTTTTGCCCAGCCGTTCCGGCTGAGGCCCGGGGGTACGGGGGTGGGGATGAGGGTGGGGGTGGGGGTGGGGCTGACTCTGCAGCCGGATCCGGATGCGGCGCTGTGACTGGCCGGGAGACTGACGTGCCTGGAGGGGAGCGTGGATCGCTCTGGTGCGGTGAGGCGACCCGGGGCTGGGACGGGAGGAATGGCAGGCTTGGGACGGCCTTGGGGCTGCAGACCGAGGAGATCGGGATGCCCCTGCCCAGGAGCCTGGCGCTAAGCATGGTACCCGCGATCCGGTCGGGCAGAGTCCTGGAGGGCCTAGGGACCATGGCATGGGACTTGGGGACAGTCCTCACCCTGTCTGCTGCCGTAGCTCTGAAAGGGCGCTAACCCTGGGTTCCCCTTTACCTGTCCAACGGTGAGAGCGGCTGAGGACACGCTCCGGCTTTCAAGAACCCCACCTGCGTAGACTGTGGGGGACCTGGGACTTGGACCCCTAAAAACACTGTGATTTCTATTGTGTGTAGGAACTAATGTTTATGTAAGGCTAACACAAAATTTGTTCTTGTAAAGGTAAACGGGGATTCGTTTTGTTTTGACAATTAACCTATAATTAATCCAAGAATGGGTCTCAGGAGATTGACATTTTAAGGCAGGCTTAGTGTGGTAGAAACAAATACCGTGAAGCAAAGATTGTTATCTGTTGAGTTTTCTGCGGTAGAGCCCAATGGGAGAGAGGACCCTCATCACAGGCCACTCGCTTGATGATACATTTCACGACTTTTAGGCTGATCTTGTGAACTTTGTGCTCTAACTAACCAACTAGGTTAATTGGAGATTAAGAAAAAAAAGATGATGTAGATCAAATACATTAACATGAAACACTTCATGCATTGAAGATACTTGAGAGCTATCTACCATCTTGACATCTACCACAGACATTTTGATATGGCTGTATATCATGTTTAGAAATTTGTAAATCTTGGTCTTCAGTGTTCAGTACTTGTTGCTCCCTTTTGTTTTCCTGGAAGCAGCTGCTCCCTGTTTGTATCCAATCTCATGCAGAGGCTGGGAAGCCAAACTTGATATTGTCTTTAAAAAAAATACTCAACTGGGAAAAAAGTAACCCCTCTGTGCAATTATAAATGAAGTTTGGTGTATGGCTTTTGTGTTGTTACTCGTGGCAATGCGGCTATCTTTGCGACTTTGTGAAATATGATTGCTAGATGAGACCCTAACGTTATTCATTGACCAGAAATTTACCGGACTAGGGCCAAGGTAATACTCATGCCTTATAAATGAATGCTAATTTAGCAGTAAAGCACAGCAGGTTGGGGAAAGTGCTTCGAGTTAGCATTTAATTAGCGTTTACATTTTATATATTTGTATTCATTTAACCAAACTTTAGTGGCTGGTGATGAGCCTTTAAGTGCTAAAAAAATGGAGGTTATTTATTTATTTATTTAATTTATTTTGTTTTGGGTTTTTTGAGACAGTGTTTCTCTATGTAGCTTTGGGCCTATCCTGGCACTCACTCTGTAGGTTAGGTTGGCCTTGAACTCACAGAGATCCACCTGTCTCTGCTTCCTGTGTGCTGAGATTTAAAGTCCTGCACCATTACTGCTAGGCAAAGAATGAAGGTTTTATGTACTCAGAGCTACCTTTAAATTGGCCCCTCTGGGTGTAGGGTGGGTATGGGGATATCTTAAAACCAACTTTAAAAAGAATTTTCCATGTTTACTCCAATTTCCTTAATTTGCATGTGTGTTGTTTTTTTGAGACAGGCGTCACTGTGATAGCCCTGTTGGCCTTGAACTCCCAGTGTTCATGCCCCAGCCTCCCTGGCACTAGATCACAAGTGTATGCCACCTCCCCGAACTTTATTAGATTGTAATGAGGCATGACCTCTGTCAGCATCATAAATCATATCTTTATGACTAGGAAGATAGGCTTTTTCCTGTTTTAAAAGAAGTTTGACTACTAATCAGCTCTTTTGTGTTTAACTGGACTATTTAGTAATGGGTGCTAGAAACTAATATAAAGTTGCTTAAGAAGTCCAATATGGTGGGATACTCCTGTAATATCAGTGCGGGGAACATGGAAACAGAATCAAGAGTTGGAGGTAGGCTGGGGAGGTGGCTGAGAGGCAAATCATTTGCAGTGCAAGATTTAGGACCAGAGTTCTTTGACTGATTGCCAGGACCCATGTAAAGAAGTAGTAGGCTTGTAATGGCAGATTCAGGAGACAGAAATCCTTTGAAATAAACTGGCTATTTATACTAGCCTAAAAAGTGAGTTCAGGGTTTGGGAAGAGAACTGGTTTCAGTATATAAAGTGAACAGAGATCGAGGAGGAACCTCATGTCAACCTTGGGCCTCCACACTCACAGGCATACATGTGCACATTTACCCAACACACATGCAACCATGCTTACACATATGCACACAGACAACAAAGAGTGGGCGGGCAACCTAAGCTACATGATAGATCCCTCTTCCTAGAAAGCAATGATTGTATTGTTTGTTTAGTTCTTTCTTCATTATTTATGCTGCTTCCTCATAAAGTGCTTTCTCACCCACTGACTTTGGACATGGGTGGCTGAAGTGGGATGTGGCTAGAAATTTACCTTGCCGCCAATCACAAGTTGACTATTTCTGCTAGATCCTTGAGCTGACCTTTGCCAGGAGGATGGCTTATCTAACATGGCCTTTTCAACTTGGGTGGTAAACTAGCTTGGCAAAGGGTAAAGGGAGGCAGGGGGAGAACTGCCGAGTGGGGCCATGTGGATAAGGGCATAGCTTGCATGCTTTCCCTTGGCAGGCCCACTCCCTAAGAATCTCCATGTGTGCTGGGCGTTGGTGGGTCACACCTTTAATCCCAGCACTTGGGAGGCAGAGGCAAGTGAATCTTTGTGAGCTCAAGGCCAGCCTGGTCTGCAAAGCAAGTTGCAAGTTCCAGGACTGGGTCCAAAGCAATACAAAGAAACCCTGTCTTGAAAAACAAAAACAAAAAAAAAAAAAAAAAAAAAAAAAAATCTCCATGTGTTTGTTCAGTTACCTGGGAGCTTCAGGTTTTACTTTATGACTGAGCCTCAGCTATATGGTTTAGTGATTGTGTAGCTTTTTCTGGGAGCCTTTAAGGCTTTAAGGCATTTCTTTTGGAAATCAATTATTGATGACTTAGTTTTTTTATAATCCTTTGGGGATCTGGTGTCAGTCACATCATGTCTTCCCTTTCCCAGCATCCTCCCCTTCCCTGAGTTCCACCAGGATTTTACTTGTTGAAGAGAGTTCAGGTGAACCCATATGTAGCTGCCTCTGTATAGTAAATAGCTTGTTAAAACATTAGTCATTTTTTTGTGACTGGACAGTGGGTTCTTATTTCTGTCCAGAATACTTTTATATGCTTTTGATTAGTCTGAAATTCTCATTTCCAAAATAGAGATTCCAAGCACTGTTCTACCTCTTGTACAACAATAGAGTCTAGGGATTCAGCAGTGCCTCATAGTTAGAGGTGTGATACCCTTCTGCCTAGCAGAGTCAGTGACATAACCTTTGGTAATGTGCAGAATTGAATGCAGAGCTCACTGATAGAAATAGCAAGCCTTAAACTGGGTAGTCTCCATGTTGGCACCTGTGAAGCCATTTGTTGCCTATTTATTCCTGCTGGCCCAAGTTTCTGTCTACTTCCTGGTCTGTTTATTTTATACTGGTGATAAATCAGGATACATCTTTATTGCTTGCTAAAGAATTATCAAGTAAAAAGTACTCACCAAATTATTATTACATATTTTTATGATTATTCACAGAACAGGACCATCTAGTTAAAAGAAATGTTCAGGAAACTGATACTATTACCTGGTTAAAATTTATTATGGCTTCATAAACTTTTTTTGAGATGGTCTCATATCACATTGGTCATATGTGCATTTTGAGACAGTATTCCACAAGGTACCCAGGCTGGCCTAAAACACGTCTTCATTCGGTGCCAGGAGTTCTGGGATTACAAGCATGCACAACTATATCTGTTGCACAGCATAAAGAAATAAACAGAAACCACTGGTTATTCTTACACTGTTTAGAAATAGCTAACAGGCTTTTAGGAAACTTGTCAGAAAACATGCAGATACTCAGTATCAGTCACGACTAAGGACAAATACTGCTGTGACTGAAAGAATAATAAAGTAATTTGAATAATTTCCCAACTGTTCATGGTTCATATAAAATAAGCCACATTTATATGCTCAAGTGAGTCTTTAGTGACAGGGATACCAAATGATTTCTGAGCCTACCAGTAAAATGCAAGATTATCATTGTACAGCATCTACAAGATGTCAGTGTTGCACTAGTGAAGTGGCTGTCACCTTCCTAATATTGTGTGCAACCCTTTTATATAGTTCTCCATGTTGTGGTGACTCCCAGCCATAAAATTATTAATGTAAACCTCTGGTATGCAGAATATTCGGTATGTGCCGCCTACCCCCCCCAAGGGTCATTTGACTCTCATAGTGGTCATTACCCACATTTTGAGAGCCACTGCACTAGTGATACTAGCCCACAAGGATAAAATGTCTTCAGTGACTTTTGGGAAAATCGAGTTTTTGTTTAACTTCTTAATTTCACTCTTAATTTCAAGCCATTTTTCATCTGATAGCAAAATTGTTTTTCCTACATGTTCACAGTTGTAGTAGATTCTAGGTAGCTAAGTAAAATAGCTCATATAATGTCATAGAATCTGTTTATATGATGAAATTAACTTTTTCATCAAGCATACTTTTTCTTTACTAATAGACCCTCTTAACATTTGAAATTTTACTGGAAAGATGAAACCTGATGAAACGCCTATGTTTGACCCAAGTCTGCTCAAAGAAGTGGACTGGAGTCAGAATACAGCCACGTTTTCTCCAGCCATTTCTCCAACGAATCCTGGAGAAGGCCTGGTTTTGAGGCCTCTCTGTACTGCTGACTTGAATAAAGGTATGGGCCTAACTGTAGTTTGTGAAAGCCCCTGAAACCGATGCTTTCTTTTTTCATAAGCATGATGGTAACTTAGAGCACCTCTTGAGGATTTTGTTCTTAAAATAACTGGAGCACTCAGTTGTAAAGGTGTGTATCATGGAGGCCAGATAGATCACTGTGATTATTTAAAATGCAGTACACTAGTATTCCTTCCAAAAGGATGTCTCAAAAACAAAATAAAGTTATAATGTATAAACACATGGCAGAGTTTTCCCCAAGAAGCAGATAGGCAGAAATAACATTCCTTGAAATTAAAGGGGTTTTTATCTAGGCCACTATCTAAATTATCCAGAATAATTTCTGAAACTTTGGTAATGAAAAATCAACATTTTACATCACTGTTTTCTTCTTAGGTATTTGAAGGAAGTAAATTTGGTTGGAATTACTGCATATAGAAAAATTAAGACTCAGAGTTCTAAATGTACTTTTAGCATTATCATTAGTTTTTGTTGTTTGTTTTTGAGACAGGATTTCTCTGTGTAGCTTTGTAGATCAGGCTAGCCTGGAACTCACAGAGATGTGCCTACCTCAGTCTCCCAAGTGCTGGGATTAAAGGCTTGCGCCATTATGCTCCAGCTGCATTAACATTAGTAAAATTAGAAATTTATAAAGTTGTCCCAACAGTGTTATATTAGTTACACTTTAGCTTGCAAATGATATTCAGTGGAGGTGAGTATCTTATACTTTTAAGTATTTAGGAAAATGCAGTATCCCTTACATAAAATTTAAATAGTAAGAACAAAGTATGTGCTGGTTCTGCAGTTACTAATATTAAGGTCTGCATTATTCTAAAATCTTATGCAGACAAATATTGTTGGAGGCTGTCATTTGCTATTCTGATTATAAAAAGAATAAGTTACAATTTAAAATTTTAAAATAATGCAATAGATACTTGTATGAAAATGTCCTCATGTAATACAGTACTATGTACAATAAATGCATACAACAGAACGTTGGAAATTTGCATGTTTAATTAACAAAAACGTGATTAAAGATTATAATGGAAACATGATTTGAAAAAGTAATTTCTTTGAATCTATTCAGTGAACATTTTGCTTCTTTTTCTATTTTAATCTTTTGCTTTTCTCCTGACTTGAACTAGGCTTTTTTAAGGTACTGGGTCAGTTGACAGAGACTGGTGTAGTCAGCCCCGAGCAGTTCATGAGTAAGTACACAGGGTACCTTGTCTGAATAACTGGTTAGAACTGTTCAGTGCCCACTCATTCAAAGAGGTGCAAGTTAGGAACTAGCCATCCTCACTTGTGGAATCCAGATGTTTGTACAATAATTTGGTAATTACTGGAGGGCAATAAAAAGAGTTACTGTCCTTTTATTGTAGTTATCTCCTGTATGGTTGGTTATGTTAAACACAGAAATTTCATTACCAAATTAAAAAAACAAAAGTTTATGTTCCTACTCTCCTTTTGTTCTTAATTAAGTTTAAATTTTTGTTATTGTTACTTTTAGATTAGATTTTAAGGCTGGCCTGGCAGGTGTCTTAGAGTTAGTCTAACAATCCCCTTCCTGCTTTGAGACAAGAGAAAATAGGTTCCCAGAGAGAACCAGTCATTCCCAAGATCACAGTTAATCATTGGCAGGGAGAGCTGGAACCTTCCTTCTTTATGCAATGTTCTAACAGCCTGTTCCCATTTTCTACCTCTGAACTTCCTTTAGTAGGTAATTTCTCCAATCAGGCTGAGTGAAGATCTGTCTCCACAATTGTTTACTCTCCTTCATTGATTTTTTTTTCCCCTACTTCAGACCTGTATAGAGTGAAACTTAGAAAATAAACAGTATCTGAGAGCTACAGAACTTGGCTTTTAAACTCCTGGGTTTGCACATATATCAGATTAGATGAAAATTGTAGCTTTTCCAGTAATATAAAGTGCTAAACATTATTTTCAGGAATGTAGCATTGCTTCTATTTGTTGTATAACTTTGGAAAAACTGCTTAAGTGGGGATGTATCTGTGTCATCTTTGTAACGTGCTTTCAAAGCAAACAAAGGTCCTGTTTCTAAAAGAATAAATATGTAATCATGAAACATTGGAAAAACTGTTTTGTCAAATATTTTGAAATCAAGACTATGGATCGTGGATATTATAGGCTCTTGTAAAAACCTGCAGTTTTGTTCTTTGAGTGTTAAGTTTTAAATGAGTATAAATTAAATTGGTGGATATTGACATTTTAATTAATCACAAAAATGGCAACATGTACAATTTATCTGCAGTATAGTGTTGCTCATCTAAAAGGTCTCTGAGTCTTACTTTACTAACAGATTGTGTGTGTGTGTGTGTTTCTGGGCATAGGGACAAGCTTTCCCTCTAGGTTACATCTCCATGAAGTAACAACAGATGACTTTAAAAGTGTGGACCACTCAGTGCTGATTGTTGGTATTTTAACTCCTTGATATTTCAGTAACATAGTAGCTTTAGAAGTTTAAGCTAGTCAGGTGTAGTGGCATGCACACTTTTAATCCTAGAGTCAGGAGGCAGAGGCAGCCAGATCTCTTTGAGTTCAAGGCCAGTCTATTATATGTAGTTGAGTTTTAAAATAGCCAGAGTGACATAGTGACATCTTGTCTCAATAAATGAATGAATGCTTTGTCTTTAAAAAAAAAAAAATGGGGGCTGGAGAGATGGTTCAGAGGTTAAGTGTACTGGCTGCTCTTCCAGTGGTCCTGAGTTCAATTCCCAGCAACAATATGGTGGCTCACAATATATAATATATTATATATAATATATAATGAGATCTGGTGCTCTCTGCTGATGTGCAGAATACATGCAGGCAAAAAACTATATAGATGAATAAATCTTTAAAAAAAAAAGTGGCAAAATAGCTTTAATACTCAAATGATGTCAGACAAGCCTTGGTGGGGGATGCCCTTTGTCTACAAAGCCTGGTGCTTTACTTGAATTTAATAAAACAGAATGTCTACCACCTAATACTTTTTTTGACATTTCCACAGAATCTTTTGAGCATATGAAGAAGTCTGGGGATTACTATGTCACAGTTGTGGAAGATGTGACCTTAGGAGAAATTGTTGCTACAGCAACTCTGATAATAGAACATAAATTTATCCACTCATGTGCTAAGGTAAGTGTTCACATCAATGCTTATGAGTAAAGTGTACTTACTGATGATCTATCTCTAATGAAATCATCTTCATTAGCAAAACCAGTTTTCCCATGATTTTCCATTGCTGGAATTCCTCAGCAGAAGACACTTTTCTGAAGTTTCTAAGTTACAATCCAATGAAAATCAGATAGAGATGGCTCAAGGGGTAAAAGTGCTCGCCACCTAGCCTAACCATCCAAGTTCCTATCAGGGACCTGCATGGATGAAGGAAAAAAACTACTATAAATTGTAATCTGACCTCCACAGATACACACACGCAAGCACGCACATGTGCTCACTCTCTGAATGTAGGAAAAAAAGAACATTTAGAAATGTACTCTGGCCAGGTGTGGTGGCACACACCTTTAGTCCCAGCAGCATGTGGGAGGCAGAAGCTGGTGAATCTCTGAGTTCAAGGCCAGCCTGGTCTACAAAGTGAGTTCCAGGACAGCCAGGGCTGCACAGAGAAACCTTGCACCTCTCAAAACCATAAATAAATAAGTAAATAAATGGCACTCTGTAGGTTACAAGTTTTTGTTTCTGCACTTGAAATTGGTAAACTGTTATTAAGCAGCAAGTTGGAATACTGTATGTCCAAGGTTACATTGTGGTGATGAGCAAGGGCTGGGGATAGAGCTAAAAAATGATTGAGGCACAGTTGGCTTTATTTCCTCCATGAGGAAGACTGTAATTGTAATTGTTACTGGCTGGCTTAGTGGATAAGAGGCTGGAAGCTCATTCTGTCCACTGTGATTTTCTGCAGAGAGGGAGAGTAGAAGACGTGGTTGTTAGTGATGATTGCAGAGGGAAGCAGCTCGGCAAACTGTGAGTAAGCACACGGAACCCTGGCAAACTGGACAGCCTGCCCAGTTTGGTCTCTCTTGCCAAGAAACTTATTTCGTAAGGTTTTCCTGATTAACTTATTTCTGACCTTTGTTTACTCTGAACTCATTCTCACTCTATATCTTAAACTAAATTTAATGAAAAATTATTGTTTTACCCCAGAGTTAGAGAACTGAAAACCTATTCCATTTACCAAGAGTAACGAGTAATGAAACTGTTCTACCACTGAGTTAAGTTACTAGCAGCACCCCTCCACACCATTTTATTTTTTGAGACAGGTTACTCTGTGTAGCCCTGGCTAACTTGCCTTGTAGACCAGGCTGATCTCAAACGCAGCCTCTGGAGTAATGGAGAACAAGCTTGCCTTATGAAAAGTAACCTCTTTAGCTTTTAATACTAGCATTTCAGACTTGAGCAAGTTACACTGAGTACCCAGCACCTCTGTCAGATTAAAATCTGTATAGGTTTATTGCCAGGTTATAAGCAGAACTTGCATTTAAATATAATCTGAGTTTTCATGAGTCTGCTCAATAAAAGTATGTGTCAGTATTCTAGGTATTTGGAATACTTGACTATATGAATCCATTTAACTAGTCATGCCTAAAATCTTTAGGATAGGAAGCTTCCCCCCTCCAAAAAATGATAAAGGATTGCTTATTCAAAGATGCAGCTGGATGTGATCGTGGTATCTACTATAAAACTGGCACACAGGAAGCTGAGTCAGGAAGATCACATCAAGTTCAAGGCCAGCCTGGGCTATGTGACAAGAGCTGTTTAAATGTACACACAACAGGGGAAACCCCCTCAGCACCTTTGGTGTTTTAACCTCAGTTAAATAATGATTTTAGTTTTTTTGGAACAGGTTTCTCTGTGTAGCCCTGGCTGTCCTGAAACCCACTCTGTAGACCAGGCTGCTTTTGGAACTACCACCACCCAGCATTTTGATTCCTTGGGCTTTGTAAGATTGTTTCTAAATGATACAACATCCACATATTATTCAGACTAATCTTGTTATCTGATCCAATATTTTCATTAAAAAATAGCTTTTTAAATGATTAGAGAAAAGCTGGACATGGTTGCCTTTAATCCCAGCTCACAGGAGGCAGAGGCAGGCTTATCTCTGTGAGTTAACCCAGTCTACAAGGCCAGTTCCAGGCCAGTGACAGCTATATGAGACTGTCTCAAGAATACAGTTATTACTTACCCATTTTATGTGAACATGGGAAGTGTTTAGTTGGAGTAGACTTAGAACAAAGATACCTCACTTGCAGCCTTACAGTATTTGCTGGGAATTCAAGCAAACCTATCACTGAGCTACATCCCCAGGCTCTGAAACAAAGATACTTTGGGTTTGTCTTGACTAAAGGTCTTGTGTAAATATAGTGGATGACCTTCAATTCCAGACCCTCCTGCTTCTACCTTCTTGGGTACTCTGGTGTAGGTGTGTCACCATAGCCAGCTAGAGGCCTTTCATAAAAATGATTTGGGCCATGTTTTCATAATTAGACAGACAGTCATTAGTATTTTTGTTTGGGGAACACAGCCAAAAAGAAAAAGAAAAAACTTTTGGCTGTGTTCCCCAAACCCAGTATTGAGGAGTGAACCTAGACCTTCACACTTGCTTGGCAAGCACTCCATCATTGCTTTCTCAGCCCTTGGTATTTTTAAAACTAAGTCTTACTCTGAGCCTATGCTTGTTTCAAACATGCTGTGTAGTTCATTTGACCTGGCCTGAACTTAAAAGCAATCCTCTTGCTTCAGCCTCTTAAATAATGGGATTATGAATGTGTCACTCACTATACCTAGGCTCATACATGCTTTTTCTGTGGCTTTGGAGGCTGTCCTGGAACTAGCTCTTGTAGACCAGGCTGATCTCAAACACAGAGATCCGCCTGCCTCTGCCTCCCGAGTGCTGGGAATAAAGGCATGCACCACCAACGGCCGGCTTTCATACATGAATTCTTTTTGATCTGTGCACCACTTGTGTTCCTGGTGCCCCAGAAGCCAGTAGGCAGCATCAGATGCCCTGAGACAGAAGTTACAGATGATTGTGAGTCACTTTGTTGTGGGTGCTGGAAATTAAATCAGGAGTCAGACTCAAGAGCAGACAGTGTTCTTAACTTAATGCAAAGCCAGCTCTCTAGCCCTGTGTGTGAATTCTTTTTAAATTTTATGCATATAGGTGTTTTGTCTGCATGCATGTCTGGTGCCTTTGGAGGCCAGGAAGCCAAAAGAGGGCACAAATTACCTGGAAGTGGAGATACAGTTAGTAGCTATATATGAGTACTGGGAATTGAACCCCAGTCCTCTGGAAAATCATTTCTCCAGCCCCTCATATATAAATTCTTACAATTAAAAAAAAAAAAAAAAAAAAAAAAAAAAAAAAAGGTTAGAGGCTGGTAAGATGGGTGAAAGGCTAACTTGCAGTGTAAGCCTGAGTTTGATTCCCAGAGCATCTACAAGAAAAAACTATACAGAATTGTCCTGACCTCTACTAATGGGCGCACTCCCGCCCTTCCTCTTATAATAAAGAGGTGTAGGCCCAGTTAGTTATTAATAGGCTGGGGACTGTGTTTGAAACAAAATAAAAATGTTTCAGTAATGCTTATCAACTTAATAATTTGAATAAAGGAATACTGAATAAAAACTAGTTTTATTTGTATACAACACTAATCTGTATCATCAAGGCCCATTTTGATTATACTGTCTCCCATACTTCTCTTTTCATAATTTTAGGTTATTATCAACTCTCACTTTGCTAAGCAAGAAGCTGAACTGTTACAAGATCACCCTTGAATGTCTACCACAAAATGTTGGCTTCTACCGAAAGTTTGGTTATACAGTGTCTGAAGAAAATTACATGTGTCAGAGGTTCTTAAAGTAAAGACCCCCACCAAGACAATGATCCAAGGCTTTACTGTTCATTTTTGTTGCTGTAGACTGGAAAACCAATGTAGTATGCAAGTGTAGTGACACACAAGCATGCCTGTGGCTGCTGGGACTCGCTCTGAGTTAAGACTACAAACGATCCTAAAGGGGATGATTTTTAACCAAAGGAATATATTTTCAACTTGAATCTTTTCTTGCATTGTATTTTTCTAAAGTTTGTCTTCATTTCTTAGTAGTCAAGAGTATGAGCAGTAAAGAGTCTGCTCTGTGCTCATTTTTAAATATATGTATATATATTGAATAAGGCTGTTTCTTATCACATAAAATTATTTTTGTCTCATACGTCTAGACAAGGTTGCACCATTTCTCATATTACAGGGAGTTGGACACATCCATTGTTATAACCAGATAGATATTTGCACATCTAAACACTGTTGACCTTATACTGCACACAATGTGGACAGTCTTTTAAAGAAACAAAAGAAATGAAAATGTGACAAGGCACAACAGTTTAAATAACTATTTTACTAAGTGTTTGTATAGTTCTGTGCAGACACTACACTGACCGTCTGTCTCATTTGTCAAATGATGTTAGAATTATCCACGGGCAGACCTATAGACCCAGGGTTCTTCTCATCAGTGAGTGAGCAGCTCTCAGTGGAGGTACTTTTACCCTGGTTTCCTTATTATGGGCATCTGAGTCACAAAATGTGTGGTACTACCTTTGTTACATCCTTAAACAACAGTAGCTTTTCTATTCAATGTGATTATAATGGTACTATTACTCTGATCATTGTTCTGTTTTATTTATTTTAATGATTTTTTTAAAGTAGAATTATTTGTTAACAATGGTTCTGATCTTTTGCATTCCATGTTACTACATTAAACTTGTTTATATGACTAGTCTCTCATGTTAGAATCTTGTCTTGTGTTTTTGTTTGTTGAGAGAGAGACAGGGTGACCTGTAACCCAAGGCTAGCTGGAACTCACAATGTAGTAGAAGATACACCTTGAATCTTTTAGGTCAAGACATGGCTCATAACAGCCTAGTTTTATGTTATTTTTGGGGTTACTTACTTCAGTTGGCTTGGACTACCCCTCTAATTATTAGATTGACTTCCCAAAATAGAAACTTTTATTGCATAATGACAACCTTTATTTCTGACAGTTTAGTTCAGTGAACTAAGTGACCTGTCACTAGTGAAAATAACAGTTTTGTCTTCAGAATACTGTAACCATAACAGGGCTTCATTAAATTTTACCCATGCTAAATAAACCCCCCCAAAAGGGAAAGCTCAGTACTTTATTTTTTACCATTAAACTCTGGGATAAAACTTCTAGGTAAGTATTTCAATAATCCCATGGAGTTTTGAGGTCTTTTAAATCCCCCTTTACAGAAACAGTTGTATATTAAATATTCATTCATCCTTCCTAATCTGTGGGAGTAAAGCTGAATTACTTTTATCCAGAAGACAAAGAAGTTCTGAGGTATAAGGAGTATGAATGAGCTTCTCAATCATTTGTTGAGGTACAATGGCACAACAGTTTTAATACAACCACCAGTCTTCACAAAATAATTTTAATACTTTGTGCCCAGGCTAGCAGCATCTTGCATCTGCGACATTCCTATACATACAGAAGCATTTTGTCTGAGTACAAATGTTAAAAGCAGAGTAACGTAAGCAATTGTCTATACACAGGTAAACAGACACTGTATGTTATTTTTCTTGAATCATTTTTTGCTGCATAGTAAATTGCAATTACATGTCAGTATCATGTTACTGATTGAGAAAACTGTGAGGTATGGTAGCTCCCTCTGAGAGAGCTTAACATGTAAACCTGAATAATTTGAGTGATTTTTTTTTTTTTTTTTAAGCTGCCATGAATGGGAAAGACAAAGAATATCTATCACTCAAGACTCTAGAAACTTATTTTCCTAATTAAAAAAATAAATAAAATCCTTGAGGAAGTCTCAGTTATTTCCTATCTCTTATTGGAGTGTTGTTGAATGGACAAAGATAACATACATACTGAAGTGAAGCTATGCTTTAGGATTATAGATTAAACCAGTTATTTAAAAAAAAATTCATCAGGTAACTGCTCATTTACTTTACATCAAGTTGAGATCCTAATATATACACCTCAACTTCATAATTCAAGATTGCACTTAAATACTTCTAATTAATCTGAATTACCATAGTAATGAAACAATTAGGAACTGTATGTTTTCTTACAAAGGACATGCTTAGCATTTTCTGACATTACTTCTAGACTCAGATTAAGCACAACCACACACCCTGCAAATGAATATTCTGCTCTACAAGTGGTTGAAAGTTGGTAGCAAAGTTATCACACTTGAACATTCCTATCACTGTTGGTACAAGTCAATACCTAGTAGACAAGAAATTAACATGAACTAGTTAAAACTAAGAGAAGACAGATCCCCCCACTCCAAAATTTTCAGAATCTGTTTCAAAACGGGAAGTAATGAAGTTCCCCATGTTTTGATAAAAATTTACTTTTAATTCTGAACCCAGGTTACATGTTTAATGTTGAAGCTGGGTGGATATTCATGTATCATTCCATTTCTTTAGAGAATAAGACATGATTGGTTAAGTTTACCATAGCTGACTGATATAAAACATCACTGGGAATGGAACCTAAGTCAGCTACTTAGTAAATACAGTGGAAAAAAAGAAACTTGCAGGCTTCTTATGAAAGAACAAACCTTATCCGTTCACATCATCTGTGCTCAACATGATGGTAGTCCCTAGTGTCTGAGACTGTCTCCAGTATATCATGCTAGATAGGCACTTTATGTGAGAACATAAAAATGACTGATTAGAAAAATCGAAAATTACCAGTTACAAATGACTATCAACCTACTTTATATTTTTGGCCAGACTCCTAAAGAGTATGTAATTTTATGAAACTTAAAAAAATTTCAAATGTGTCACTTTGAAAAATTATTTGTGGAGATTAAGCACAATTTTTGATCATAGTCATAGATTATGAGTTGACTGCAAGAGAGATCTTTGTTGACCTGTCCAGTGATGATGTGTATACAGGAATTTTTGAACACCCAATGTAATCTTTACTCCATTAGCCCACCACACCAGTGACACAATAGAATAGTGGGTCACAATGCTGGCTTTAGGGTGGAAAGGTAGGAGATGGGATTCGAAATCTGAAGAGGAATTAACTCAAGTTAACAGTAATTCTGGTTTATATTTAGGCTTCACTGTGCAGGACAAAGAGCCCTCTCTGTACTATTATGCCATAATGTGGAGTGCAAAGCAAGTAATTGAGTATAACATGCTACCTCACACAGTGCCTCATGGTACCCTGGAAATGTACAAGAAACATTCCCAACAGTAAAGCACCTCAAGAGGGGACTGAAAAATGTGAACTATAAAGGAGCTGTATTTGTGCTACCCTAAAGTCATCAAATACAAAAAGTTAAAAACACTCTTCTGCACATCACACTTAAAATAGCAAAGTATTTTTTGTAGAACAACTTCTATACATACAGATAAAAACATGGAAAACCAAAGAGCCATAAAGTGACTTTGCAAATGCAAATTATGGGGTAAATTTGAACTAATTTAAGAACAAGTTTAAATGGTAATTTACAATACCCTGAAGCCACCCGCAAATTGCTTTATCCAATGGATCTTCAAAGCAAAGCTGTCAGCTGAACCACCTCACAGAAGCAAGACAACGTGAAATGAAGAAGTAAATGTCTCATTCCAAATAATTTACATTCTTCAAGCTTCACAGACTCAGTTTAATTTATGGTTTAAAAACAAAAATTACAGAAAATGTTAATAGCTTTCACTGCCTTATGTACTAATTTAGAGGTCATGAGGATTTAATTGTTGTTTGATACAAGGCACTTTTCTTTTGGGGGTTTCATATTGAAGAAACAGTGCTACATTGGTTTGGTTTCTTAAAAGGGTCTACTTTGAACTGTTCTGGACAAAGATAAAAAGGGCTAGGCAACTCTGAAAAGACCAAGTCAACATCTGACTTACACAAACAGCAAAAAGAAAAGACTGGTGGAAATATAACACTATTATTTTTTGAGTATCTAGTTCTAGGAAGTAAGACCTCTTTGATCATTACAACTTTTTTTCTTGTTTAGAATAAGGAAAGCAATGGGGAAGGAAGTATTAATTGGATTAAATTAGTAAAGTAGGATAGTTGGCTAAAGTCATGATTTAAAACTAAAGGACTAATAAGTTAAAAAAAAATAAAATGGTTAAGTTACTGAACTGTATTAAAAATGTGAAAGAGTTCTACATTTTGTTAATGTTTCTAGTAAGAGTCTCCATCAGAAAACTCAACTGTAAAATGACTTTAAGTGTAATATATATAACACAAAATGAGTTTTTAGGAAACATTAGGAAATCTGTTATAAATTATCCAAAATTTATAAACAAATCCCCCTAACTTGCATTTTACTTAAAGTAATAACTTTATATCATACAAATAAACTTCAAGTATGAAAAGTGCATTATTGCAATAATACCTCTTTGCAAGTCCAAAATTCTTGGTTTACAATAAAACCATAGTTTTTTTTGTTTTTTTTTTTTTTTAAGTAAACCCATTACCCATCAGCGCCATCTACTGTAGAAGTCCAACATCTTAAAGTGTTGCTCAACAAGTTGCAGAGAAACATGTCTGGAAGCAACATATAATTGAAAAGAAACTATTTGTGTTTTTCCCACTTTACATCATTATCAGTAGGATTTTCTCCTTTCCAAATAGAAATTCATATCCATGTAATAGTTCTCAGAGGTGTCAGCCATTCTGTGCAGTTGCCACTTGCATGTTTCCAAAATCATCCTCTTCTTCATGTGTTCTCTTCAAACTACCTAAAGGTCATTGATATAAAAGTGAAAGCTCACATGAATTCATGTTGAAATACTACAGGCAGCAAAAATATGTTCTTCAACTAACTGATATGTTATATATGTCATGAAAATTTCATGTTGAATTCACAGCAAACACTACAATAAATTCTTTATGTTGCATCATGAAGTAAAGTTACTTTGGTAACAATGTCTTAGGTACTGCACATAATAAACAGTTTTCAAATAGCATGAAAAGTAAAACTTCAAGAGTCAGTGGTACACTAAATCTGGTTACCACCAACTTTATGCTTTTTAGGCAACATAAACATGTCATAGAACACCACATCTAGTAGGTGAGTGTTTGTATGATTTTTAAATATAGTTTTTCTGTTCACACAGATCCTGTTATGATGAAGAACAAACAGCTGAAAATATTTTTCTGCTAAAGCTGTAGCTTTATCAAGGAAAGTATATAGCAGATAAAGAGATCTGAATTGTTCCCTACACCAGAGTCAACTCTACAAAAAAAATCACAATTATCTCTACGTGCCTGTAGTTACTTACATTCAGAAAGGGGACTTAGGGAGGGGAACCTGAAGAACAGTTAAACTGGCAGTTGCCTGTGCTCTGACTAGCGACAGCTTGGCTGTAGATTTAGAATTGTTCTAACTCACAACATAATTTAGATTGCTAATTCTAACCAAGTTACTGCTTCACTAGAAGAATAATATAGATGTAAGTATAGTACCAACAGTAAAAGTAGAGAGAAACAGTGTAAAGAAATCCCCCAAGGCCAAATATAGGCACAGTCATACACTACCCCAGTAACTGGTGGATGGAGAAGAGTGCCCTAACCCTACCTCATTTGAGACAGCATCTAAGTTATGTTTAAGAATAGGGAAGATGAATCATATGCATTATAGTAAGAAAAACACGGCAGAAGACTATCCATTTAGTTTTGTGGAGTGTAGACACAAAGAGAAGCAATGAAATACAAACTGAAAAGTCAGAAGGGCTTTTTCTACATATGGTAACCTTTGCTATCTGTTGTTCTACTTGAGAACCACAGGGTTCTCTTAAGCTGGCATGCTCATTTTGTATTTCCCGGTATACACTTCTATAAGAATAATCAATGAAGTTTTTGGTAAAACAAAAACAAGTAAGAAAATAAACTTGATGACAATGTACAAAATATACCAGGATAATCTCGTCAAGAGGCTCTTGTTGCTCTAACTAGCCTTTGTTTAAAGTACCATTTAAAAGGAAGTGTGCTTTAAAGATTCTGGCAAACAGTATAGTGTTTATTTAAAACAGTGACTAGAGAAAAACAGTGACTAGAGAGAGGGTCAAGGTTAAAGAGTCAAAGATATCTGGGAAGCTAAACCCAAGAAATAATCGTCTGGCCTGAATGGTGTGTTCTGGACTTGTGCTTAAATGCCAGCTCAACAATATGCATGTAACCTGTTCTAACCTTTCAAGAACTGTTAAAAATGAGCAGCAAGAACTTGGAAAAGAAGATGAAAATTTGAGAGTTTGCCTAGACTGTTAACTAGGAAATAAGTAGTTGAATATGGTGGCACACACATTTAATTCCAGCACTTGGAAGGTAGAGGCAGTTCACTCCTATACCACGTAGTTCCAGGAGACCAGACAGGTTGTCAGGTTCAGTACCAAACACTTTAATCCTCTGAGCCATTTTACCAGGTAAGTTTCAGGTCAGCCTAGTGTACATAACGAGTCCTGTGACAGCCAGTGCTACACAGTGAGACCCAATCTCAAAACAATCACTGAGTGGGAGGGATGGCTCAGCAGTTAAGAATACTGACTGCTCTTGCAGAAGACCTAGGTATGGTTCCTATTATTTACTTGGTGGCTTATACCAACTTATACATAATTCCAATTCCAGGCATATCTGCTGCCAACCTTCTGATCTCTTCAGAAATCAGGCATGCACATGGTACATGTAGGTACATAGATACAGGCAAAAGATTCCTACACATAAAATAAAAATAACGCTTAAAAACAACAACAAAAACTCAAAATAGTAGTAGTGAAAGATTGAGGTATTTCAAATTAGTTACACTGTTGAATTTGAAATATAGTTTTATGTAACAATCATTTTTTTTCCCATTTTGTTCTGAGACAAGGTATCTTCCTGCCTCCATCATCCAGTAAGGGATTATAGGCATATGCCACCACACCTAGCAACCACACTTTTAGTGTCATCCAAATTATCCAGACTGTATTTATTTATTTGGTTTTTCAAGACAGGCCCTAACTGTCCTGGATGGAACTAACTCTGTAGACCAGGCTGCCCTCAAATGCACAGAGATCCACCTGCCTCTGCTTCCCAAGTGCTGGGATTAAAGGCTTGTACCACCATCGCCCAGCCTATTTATTTTAATCTTTATAACAGTTAAACAATTTAACAAACTGAAAAATTAAAGAGTAGATTTGTGATATTTAAATGGCTACCATAACTGGCTATGCATTATAGTTTATACACGTCAGAGGTACATTAGACAGCTTACCCTTTTGTAAAGTTCTTTTTTTTTTTTTTTAAAAAAAGATTTATTTATTTACTTATTATGTATACAGTATGCCTGCGTATGAGAAGAGGGAACCATATCTCATTATAGGTGTTTGTGAGCCACAATGTGATTGCTGGGAAATTGAACTCAGGACCTCTGGACGAGCAGTCAGTGCTCTTAACTGCTGAGCCATCCCTCGAGCCCAGTTTAAACTAGTTTATTCTAAGTTTCTCAGTAGTACATGTAATGTATAACATATGCTTCTTTTCTCCTTCCCCCACCATTTCCTTTCTTTTCAATTTTCCAAAAGAAAACACCCTTACCTGTGGTACCAGAATGAACAGATAAGGACCTTTCTATCTGGAGTGGAGACATCATCTGTATTGTTAATTTTGCTAAGTAGATGGCTTCATATTCCTAAAAAATAAAATAAATAAATAAAATTTTCAGTTAGTTCATATACATATTTATATTCTTAAATACCTAAAACAATGACTAATGTTTACAGCCAAAGGGCTAGTACCATATTTTCACAAAAGGACTGAAGATTCATAGTTCTTATCTGGTAACTTGTCAGTTACTGATAATTAGAAATTAAGTATTTCTGCCAGGCGGTGGTGGCACATGCCTTTAATCCCAGCCTCAGGAGGCAGAGGCAGGCGGAGTTCGAGACCAGCCTGGTCTACAAGTGCTAGTTCCAGGACAGCCTTCAAACCACAGAGAAACCCCATTTTGAAAAAACAAAACAAAAAACAAAACAAAACAAAACAAAACAAAAAAAAAAAAAAAAAAAAAAAAAAAAGAGAGAGAGAGAAATTAAGTATTTTCAATAGCTCACTGCCAGACAGAATGCATCTTCTGGGGCATTAGGATAATGGTCTAATTCTATAGTAGTACAAAGACAGAGGGACCTAAAACTTAAACATGTAATCTTATTACGTGGTTCTAAGAATCAAAAACAAAATTCTCTTTGCCCAGTTTTTCCTGAACAAACTGCAATTTTGATTATCTTCCCCACCCCACAGGGACTACAAATGCTTTGAAATAGGGGATCACTCCTTCCCTTTCCAGTCTTTACCTAACATCTCTGAAACTAGGCCACCTGGATGTCCTTGCTATATCACTAGCCATCTCCTTTGCTGGCTTTATTTACTCATCCCCTACATGCCTGAATGCTGCACTTCCTGCTTTTAAAATGGCTGTTTTGTTTGTTTTACAGGCATAATTTCAAAGAATCCTGGCTGGCTTCCACTGTGCCACTGAGTAAAGACTGGCCTTCCTTCATCTTCCTTCCTCCTTCCTCTATAACAATGATGACTGTCTTGGAGTTGTTCAATCAAATGGCAGATTCATCTTCATCCCCACCACTCAGAACCTGTATCCATCAAGTATCAAGTTCTGCCAGCTAGCAATGCTTTCAAATAAACCCTATACTTGATCTCTTTCCCTTCTGCTACCACTTTTGTTTAAACCAGTCTTTTTCATGTTATTCTTGTTTGTATGTATGTGCACATGGGGGCATGCTTGCTACAGCACACAAATGGAAGAAAGGATACAAAAATATGGAGCTGGTTCTCTTTTATCTTTACTTTACAGGGATTCCAGGGATCAGAGTCATGTCCTTACACTTGGACTGTCAGGTGGCAAGTGCCTTTACTCACTTAACATCTCCCAGCCCCCAGTGTTCTCTCTTGATTTCTCTATCCTTTAAACTGGTCTGCTTGCTTCTGGCAGCTGCCCTCAATTTTCTCTAGTCTTCATTGAAGATATTAGCCAGAATGATCTTCTCATAAGAAAGCACCCTTCCCCCTGAGTGTCAGCTATGGCAGGAAGGTTTCTACAGCATCACCACAAACCAGAGTAACGACTTGTGGGGGCTGAGTGACGGCTCAGCGATTAGGAGAACTACCTGTTCTCTCAGAGGACCTGAGGTTCAGTTCTTAGCACCAATGATGTGGCTCACAGCCACCTGTAACCCAGTCCCATGGCATCCAAGGGCACCAGGCACATACTTGCTATATAGAAAAAAAACAAAACAAACAAATAAACAAAAAAATCATCAAGAGTAACACCTGCACCAAAATGATATGGTTATTCCCAAGGGCATTATGTAATAAGATACATTCAGTCTTATGGGACCACCATCATATATGCCGCCCATTATGCATGTAAACTTTCTGTGACCAATGACTGTGTATTCCAAAAATATGTTCAAGATATCTTGTTAACACATTTATTTAAATATGTTTAATTTCTATATTTCTTTCTTTCTTTCTTTCTTTCATTCATTCATTCATTCATTCATTCATTCATTCATTCATTCATTCATTCAGAAAGTCTTGTTATACAGTCCTGGATGGCTTGGACTTACTATGTAGATCAGGCTGACTTTGAACCTGCAGTGATCCTCCTGTCTCTGTTTCCTAAATAGGTTTATTGCATGGAACACCATACTTGGTTTCTTGAAAATATAGTATTAAAAGGACTTACTTTGCATCTGATTTGTACATATTGCTAAATTTTGATTTTGTTTCGTTTCTCATATCCTACTTTTTCAAGTACAAAAATATGCTGTAAAACAAATGTTTTCATACAAGGAAAAAACAAAACAAAGAAACTTATACTATAGGTGTCAAGCTCAGCAAGACCTGAGACACACCACACCAGGTAGTGGTGGCGCAAGCCTTTAATCCCAGTTCTTGGAATGCAGAGGCAGGTGGATCTCTGGTTTACAGATGGGTTCGAGGAACAGCCAGAGCTACCCAGGAGGACTGAGGAGATGGCTTAGTAGGTTGGGATGCTTATAAGCAAAGAACCAAATTGTCCTCTGATCTCACACATTGCAAATGTATTCTTTCCTCCTATAAGTCAATTTAAATAAATAAAATCAAAGTAATATTATATAAGGTAGAAAATGTGGTGATCCCTTCCCCCCAATTTTACCGTCCAGCAAACTTCAAAATTAAAGGTAGTAACTACATGCTAAGTATATCAGCTTTATCTTCTGTTTTCTTTTTGGTGGGGATCCTCTATCTTATATTTAACAATGTATGTTTAACCCATTTTCTTGGAACTACAATTGCAGCCCAGGCTTGCCTAGAATTCATGACAATCTTTCTGCCTTAATCTTGAGTTTTGGGATTACAGACAAGAGCCACCAGAGATAGTTTAAGAAAAAAATACTTTTAGAAGCTGGAGAGATGGCTCAGAGGTTATGAGTACTTGCTATTCAATTCCCAGCAATCACATGGTGGCTCACAATCACATGTAATTAGATCTGGTGCCCTCTTCTGGCGTGCAGGCAGAACACTATGTATATATAATAAATGAAAGGAAAGGAAGGGAGGGAGGGAAGGAGGAAGGGAGAGAGAGGAGGGAGGGAGGGAGGTTGGGAGGGAGGGAAGGAAGGAAGGAAGGAAGGAAGGAAGGAAGGAAGGAAGGAAGGAATGAATGATACTTTTAAGGGCTGGGTGCAGTGGTACATGGCAGGCAGATCTGAGTTTGAGGACAGTCAGAAATACATATTAGAGAGAACTTATCTCTAAAAAACTCAAACCAAAACCAAAAAACCATTCAAGTAAAGATACAAATTGGAATAATCATCAGTTTAGTCAGATTATAGTAATATCAAGTATTTACAAAGTAAATTCTATACCTAAGATGCACAGACCTTTTTTAAACCTTAAAGACAGTGGACATACAAGTTCATTACCTGGAGTTGGTGAACAAATCCAGCATTAGGATTAATACAAAATCTCCTTTCTTGAACATAAGCAAATGCATCTCTAAGAACAGAGAAAGAAAAATGAATGTAAGAGAACTATTTTATGGAATAATCTAATTTTTCCCATTAAAAATTTATTTGTAATTTCCCCTAAGGCTGGGGATAGAGACAGAGCTCTGTAGGATCTTAGCCATGAAAGGTCCTGGTTTCATCCCCCCCATACAGTAGGGGAAAAACCACAACATTAAAAGGCACCCTGAAACTTTTACCGAAATAGAAAAACATAGTCATAGAGTTTAATGCTATAAAGAGGTGGTATGTTGTAGTGGATACAAGTGAGGTCAACTAAATTCACAGTTCCTAGGCTACACCTTTAACAGGGAACTTGATCAGCTTTCTCTCTGGTAAATAGGTATTATAATACTGATTTTAGAGGACTACTGAGAGGGTAAGAGAAGTGCATACTGAAAAGCACTGTCACAAAACTCATTCAGGGTGTGACCCTGAGTTGGAACTATCTATTAGAGCCTAGTGAAGTCATCAATGTGTGTATAATTGAAAGCAATGTTTTCCACTCTCCTTAAATTTATCAGAGGCACCAGGAGGTGATTACACCTTTAATCCCAGCAGTCATGAGGCAGAGGCAGGAGGATCTCTCTGAATTTGAGGCCAGCCTAGTCTACAGAGTGAGTTCCAGAACAGCCAAGGCTACACATAGAAACCCCATTTCAAAAAACAAAACAAACACACAAAGTATATGAGAGCTTTTCTGCATACACATTTGTGTGTGTGTGTGTGCGCGCGCGTGTGCGCGTCTGCAGGAGGTCAGAAAACAGTGTTGAATCCCCTGAAACTATTAACAGATAGTTGTAAGCCACCACCTAGTGCTGGTTACTGAACCCAAGTCCTCAGCCATTTTTCTAGCCCCAAGAGGTAAATAATAGAGTTGTTAATACGGACAGGATTTCTAGCTTTCATAAGACTAGGTAAAGTTGGGCTTTGTTATGAAGGTCCCTAAGTCTTATTTTCTTTAAAAAAAATCTATGTACTCTGATTGTAAAAGATGACATGAAAAACCATACTGATTTATATATGGGTGTTACAGACAATTTCTAATTTCTAATTAATTTTTCATTCAGTTCTGATGGGAGATGTCATTCTGTAAATATGTTTCTTGTATTGGTTAATGAATAAAGCACTGTTGGCCAATAGGAAAGCAAGATAGGCGGGACTAGGAGGAGAGAGGAAGTAGTAGGGAGGAGATCCCAGATGGTGGACTGAGAGAAAAGAATGCCGGGGCCTCTCTCGAGTAAGATGAGACCACATGGAAGTACTTAGATTAATAGAAATGGGTTAATAATTAAGACAGAGCTAGCCGATAAGAAGCTAGTAATTGGCCAACAGAATTATATCTAATACAGAGTCTCTGTGTATTATTTGGGGCTGGCATGGCGGTGGGATCAGGTGGCAGGGAAAAACATACTCATTACACAGTTCTTAACAAAAGAGTGTGCTTAAGTTTCTTTTCTTAGACACAGTCTCAATTTGTAGACTTGAATGTGCTGCCCAGCCTTTGTCTGATTACAGGCATATTCTACCACCTAATAACATCAACTGAAATAAAGTAAACACCAAAATTTATATCCAGAGTTTTAACTAATTCCCTACTGACAAGTAGTTTTCCAGTTTTTCCTAATCAATTATGATATTTTTAATAAAGAATATTAAGCCTTAAATTCCCAACTATTTCTATACGTCCATTTAAGTGACGGTGAAGCGCTACTAGATTTGCGTGTGGTTACTTACCTGTATTTCATCCCGAATGTCTCCATGATGTATGCAATAACGAAGGCAGCACTGAAGATAGAGAAACAATTAGAAAATAACTCATCACTAAACACAAGGGACAAAGATTATCTATCTACCTTCATACCTTCTGGAGATGCCTGCATTCCCATGGACAAGAACTTTTCCTGAAAAAATTTAAAAAATAGTTACTTATCTGAAAACACCACAGTTCGGACATAAAATATTCTAAAACTACATTATCAGGTTGCAGTCAGTCTTCCTTAGATATTTTATATCATGTACATGCCATTTAGCTATTAGTTTAAGTCTGTATTTTAATTATGTGGAGAATACAACAGGTTTTGAGAGAAACTGAAAGTAGTGTGTTAGAAAAAAATTAAAAAACGTAACAAGATGAAGTAAGCAGCTGGGAAACACTGAAAATTCTCTACTATATTAAAAGTAGAATTTCCCTATCCTACATTTAGAAAAAATATCAACTGAAAGATAACTCCAACAAAATATTCTCCTAAAAATAAAACAGACTTATAGTCTGGAGAGATGGTTTGGTAGCTAAGAGCATTGTGGGTCTTGCAAAAGACCAGGTTTGAGTCTCAGCACCCACATGGTAGCTTACAACTGTTTGTACTTCAGTGACCTCTTTTGGCCTCTGCAGGTACCAGGCACAGATGTAGCATACATACATATATGTAGGCAAAAACTCATACACATAAAATAAATAAATCTTTTAGTAAGGAAAAAATATTATTTACCTCCATTTTGTAAGCTTCCATCAATAAACTCTTTAGTCTGAGGGCAAGAGACAATGTTACAATGTCAGCCTGAGTTACAGAGTAACACCTAATCTTTAAAATTCAAAACTCTTGGACTGGCAAGATGGCTCAGCAGGTAAAGGCACCTACCACCAAGCCTGATGACCTGAGTTCTATCCTAGGACGCATGGTAGAGAGAACAGACTTCCAAAAGCCGTCCTCTGATCTTCCTATGCACACCACGGCACATACAATGGTGTTCATGCTTGAGCACATGCACATAAAATTAATACAATTAAAAAAAACAATTAAAAAAAACCACCAAAAAACCTCAGTGAGGGGGCTGGACAGACAGCTATCCAGTTAAGAGCGCTTGCTGCCCACTGCCCATGAAGAAGACCAGGGGTCAATTCCCAGCACCCATACTGGCTCATAGCATCCATAACTCCAGTTCTAGAGGTCCAATGCTCTCTTCTGACTTCTGAGGGCTTTTGTACACATGGTACACATACATATATTCAATCAACACACAAAAATATAAAAATTAAAAAAAAAACCCTTGGTTTTTAAAAGTTTAAGTGCTTTCTTTTAAAAGTAAGCCTAACCTTTTTTTCAGTCATAATGAAGTAAAAGTAGGTTTAGAATCTACATAGGTCTATATCATAAATTTTAAGTGATATTAAAATACTGATACCTACCATAGGGAAAAAGCGTATAATGTTTTCAACTGGATTATCAGCAATATCCAAAACTAAATATCTAAAACAAAATATTTATGGTCAGCGAACAAGACAAATCACATAAAACAATGTTTTAAAACCAAAATAAAATCCTATCTCTTTATTACAAAAGATACATTATAATCTTCAATTATATTGATCTTTCATGCAAGCAACTCATGTATATGATATTTGTATATTAACAGTTTGACCTTTTATTCTCTCTCTCTTTTCTTTTTTAGTATTTTATGTGCACTGGTGTTTTGCCATGGGTGTTAGGTCCCCTGGATCTGGAGTTACAGACAGTTGTGAGCTGCCATGTGAGAGATGGGAACTGAACCCAGGTCCTCTGGAATGGCAGTCAGTGCTGTTAACTGCTAAGCCATCTTTCCATCCCCCAGTTTGACTTTTTAAGAAATACTTTATTCTGTGAGCTCCACCTTCCTATATATTTTTAATGTGTGAAGATCTGTAATTACTTTTAATATTACTAGTTCTTTGAGAATTTCATATATGCATACAGTATATTTTAAGCATATTCATTTCCCACTCCTCCTCCTAGAGACTCCACATCCTCCTCCCAAACTTTATACCCTTTAAAAAAAAAGTTTATCCTCCCCCATTTTCTTTTCTTTTTCTCCCTATAAAGCCCCTGCTGACCTGGAACTTTGCCTTCCCAGTGCTGGGATTAAAGACATGTACTACTATGCCTGTGGTCTGATAATTAATTTTTAAGAAGACTTTATTGTATGTATGAGTTTTGCCTGCATTTATATAAGGTACCACATATGTGCCTATTACTAGAGAAGGCCAATGAGGGCACTAGATCTCTTCAGAATGGAGTTATGATGGTTTGTAAGCCACCATGTGGGTGCTGGGAACTAAACCTAGGTCCTCCACAAGAGCAGTCAAGTGTCCTTAACCACTGAGCCACCTTCTCCAGCCCCTGACAACTTTTTGATAACTACAAAAAATGAAAACTAATTTTCAAAGTATCACATCTCTAAGGAGATTATGTTGTCACAGATTTATGTTGTCTAAGGACATTTAAAGCTTTGCAATACAGGATCTGAGATTTCAGTATAACATGTTTATCCAGTTAAAACAAAAACCATAAACAGTGAAAAAAGCTTCAGAGAGGATCTAGAAAATTTGTACAAAAAGTATATATATTCCTCATTCCTATTTCTCATTTCTATCTGAAGAGCAGAAGATGGTTCTCTAGAGTTCTGAAGGTGTTCCTTGCCTCTAGGACATTTCAAAGAAAACCTAATGTTTAAGAGAGAGGGAACTAAATAACAATAAAATGGTGTGGTGGCTCAATTATGTAGTTCCAGCATTTGGGGGGGGGGGCAAGGCAGCAAGACTGCTGAGTTCTAGACCACCCTGAGTTCCTGAGATCCCAGTTTCAAAAAACAAGGGGGTAGAGAGATGACTTAGCAGTGAAGAGCATGTGCTGCTCTTGTCGAGGGTTAGAGTTCAATTCCCAGCACTTACATCAGGTAGCCCACAACTCCTCTAACTTTAGCTCCTGGGAGGATGGATGCCACTGTCCTCCAAGGGTACACTGACATGCAGCTACACATAATTGAAAATAATATTTTTTTAAAAAGCTTGGCGAAACATTGAGTCAATCACACCTTCAATAAAGCAACAAACAAACAAACGAAACAGCTAAGAGAACTCTTATCCTGGGATTTATGCTAGAAAACAAAATATGGTGCCACCATTATATTGTGGTTAGTATATTTGTGAAAAAAAAATATGGGTTTTCAATGACCCTTTTAGAGGTTAACAACTTCAAAAAACTCAGGTCTTAACAGAGATGTTAAGGCTCAGGATCAAGAGAAGCCCATGTACAAACCACAAGGGTCTGGCAACAGAGGTGACCTATAGTACTCAGACAGGTCTATGGTATCATTTCAAACATCAGCAACCACTACAACTATCAACCTCCTTGAACCCCATGAAAAGTCTGGGGGGGGGGAATTTCTACTTTCTGAAGTATTTCCCCAATTGTTGATGACAGATGACTGAACTACATACACTACAGCCTTCTTATTGCTGTTTTGTACTTCCCGGACTCCTCTTAAAGTTAACATAGTTACCTCTGAAAATAGGAGGAAGACAGAACCATCAACACTCAAGTTGCAGCCCAGTGAATACCAGGGCAGAAGCCTTTACAGGGAACACAGCCAGCTCAAAGCCAGTACTTTTTACCATCCCTGACCCAGGTCAAAGCCCATGAATCATTTTAGTTCCCTGCCACCTTTTTGCCATCAACACCTTCAACTCTTAAACTGCAGTAAGTCAAACATTTCCTGCATGCCTAAAAATTGAGATGCAAACATTCCTTGAAGTTAAAAACAACTCTAAAATAGGAAAAAAAAAATTTAAAATATTTAAAAACTTGGCTGGGTGTGGTGACGCATGCTTTTATACTCAACACTCTGAGATAGAGGAAGGCAGATCTCTGAGTTCAAGGACAAGAAGATGTACACAAACCTAAACCTTTGGGCTGGAGAGATGACTCAGAGGTTAAGAGCACTAGCTGCTCTTCCAGAGGTCCTGAGTTTAATTCCCAGCTACTACTAAATGAGATTTGGTGCCCTCTTCTGGCAGGCAGAAGACTATATACAGAATAAATCGGGGGGGGGGGGGGGGAGAGAGAGAAACCTAAAGCTTGTCTTGAGGGAGAATTTTTTTTTAAATACTACTGCACAGTGCAGCAATATCCAGTGATAATTCCAGCTCTATGGGAGGCTGAGGCAGGAAAATACATTTTGAGTCCAGCCTGGCAGCATACTGACTTGCAGAAAGGAAAACAATTCTAACAGTGGAAAAGTTATATAGGATGAAAAACTGATTCCTTACTATCCTGGACCATGAATTTCCCTTCTCAGAAGCAACTACTCAAGCTTAAAGTGTGTTGATTCAGGACTTCATGTACATATAATACATAAACTTGGCTCAGCAGTTAAGAGCACTCACTGGCTGCTCTTGTTTGCAGAGGACCTGGGTTTAGTTCCCAGCACCAATGCAGCTCACAACTGTAACTCTAGTTCCAGGGGCTCTAATGCCCTCTGACCTCTACAGGTATATACATGGTACAGAGATATACATGCAGGCAAAAACATATATATGCATAAAGTACAAATATTTTAAATACTGAGAATATACTTCTACATGTACTCTTCTTTGTTCTTGTAATCACTAAGATCAACACACGTCTATTTTTTTTCTTGCTTAGTTACATAATACTCTTTTGTTTGTTTAGTTTTTCAAGACAGAGTTTCTCTGTGAAACAGTCCTGGCTGTTCTGGAACTTGCTCTGTAGACCAGGCTGGGCCTTGGACTCACAGAGATCCATCTGCCTCTGCCTCCTGAGTACTGGGATTAAAAGCTTGCACCACCACTGCTCAGCATCAGCTCACAACTGTTAATTTCAGTTCCAGGGGATTTGATGTCCTCTTCAAGGCTCCATGGGCACCAATAACACAACTGGTACACAGACATACATGCAGGCAAAACACTCATATACATACAAGTTTTTTCTTTAAAAATAGGCACACACCCCTTCCACATACACAAAGAACGAGAATCAAAACAAGTAATCAAAAACCAACAAGACAAAATAAAACAAGGCAAAACAAGAAGCACACATAAAACATGGGAGTTATTTTGTGTTGGCACAAGACCTACCTTAAAGTGAAAATAATAAAATTAAAAAAATTTTTTAGAAAGCTAGGTATAGGGGCTAGAGTGATGGTTCAGTGGTTAAGAGAACAGACTGCCCTTGCAGATAACTTCAATTTCATTCCTATGCCCAACTCTGGTAGGTGACCATCACCTGTAAGTCCAGTTCCAGGGGTATCTGCATTCAGTGCACATATCCACAGAAACACACACACATAATTAAAAACAGTATCTTGAAAAGTAAAGCTAGGCTTGGAAGCTCACATCTGTAAGCCCAGCACTCCTATGGCAAGATGGGAGGAATAGACAGGGAACTCCCCAAAGTCTGTGGGCCAACTAACCTGGCATATGCTGCTGTGAACAAAAGACAAAGTCTCTCAACTCAGTTATTCCTTGATCTCCATGTGTAAGCAGGGGTAGGGAGTGGGGTGAGGAGCAGACTCAAAAAATTAGTAAAACCTTGGATCCATAGAAATTAGCTAGTATGCTCCTGAATGGACACACAATGAAGAGATAACAGATGACTCTGGGGAAGGGGACTGAGTAGGAGATAAGAGTACAGAAACATACATTTTAGTGTACATTCTTCTAACCCTCTAGAACTATGAACATGACTTAAATATTTTAAAATAAATTCTATTAAAATATACCAGGGGTATGGTATATATGGTATATATACCATATATGGGTACAGAAGAAAGTTACATTGTGTAACAAACTGGAAACAAGTACATTACAGGACAGGCAGAATGCTTACCTAGCACTCTTGATGCTCTGGGTTCAATCTTAAACACTTCAAAGATCAGTGACAATAATAAAACATTACATGTTTTGACCTTAACATTTTTCTATAAATCACAGCAATAAGTCTTACCTAAACAATTGCTGAAAGTTTGGTTTAATAAAGTTTGCTTCGATATTTTGCCGTATGCAAATTATATGAGTTATCCCATGTTTCTGTAATATAGGTAGCTATAAAAATGGGGAGAAATAATAATAGTTTAAAGTACAAAACATCATCTTACCATAATATAAGCTTAAAAACAAGAGACAGGACTCATATCTAATCCTTAAGTACAGATGATTAAAGCTAATTTTACGGTAATCGACCAGATGTGATCCACAAGACAATTCAAAGACTCAAGATAAACACACAAAATATTCTCTAAAGTTTAATATGGACACACTACTTACATTTAATTTTAGAGCTTGATGAGGACTTAAAGATAACTTGTCAAGAAAACAGTACTATTAACAATCGTGGCTAAAACCATTGAGTGTTAGAATCATGTGAACCTAAGCTAGAAATCCAGCTTTGCCAATGAGTCATTGCTATGTGGTTCCATTCTATTATGTGAGAGTGGGGAAAAACATTAAAAAGAAAATGTGCACTATAAAGACATAAACAAGGCCATGATATGGAAATCCCATGTTGGAGCATGACCTTTATATGACAAAAAGAACCTATTCTCTCTGTCCCCATGTGACTCTAAAACAAGAAGATACATACCATCCAAAAGCCAAGTCAGGCTCCCAGGAACACACTGTGAAATGCAGGCACCACAATTGTAGGAGGCAAGTCATCCATGCCATGGTATTTTATCAGTGGTGTCCAAGTTGACTAAGACAATATGGTTTCCAAGGTCTTCTAAGATTTGTTTATTTACTATGTATACAGTGTTTTGTCTTTATGTATGCCTGCTCTGCATGCTAGAAGAGAGCACCAGCTCTCATTACAAAAGGTTGGTTTTGATGGGAATTGAACACAGGACCTCTGGAAGACTGGCTTAACCACCGAGTCATCTCTCCAGCCCTGGTTTTCAAAGTTTTTTTTTTTTTTTTTTGGTTTTTCGAGACAGGGTTTCTCTGTACTGTTTTGGAACCTGTCCTTCAAAGTCTTTAATTTTGACAGCAAATTTTCTTGTAAGTATAGATTAGAGTTCAGTTATCTTTTATTTTCTAAGTATATCCTGGGATATAAGCAGGAGGAGTGTTTAACAGATTACTCAGCAGTGTTTGACAGGATTAATAATAGCCCAATGTTGTATACTTCTGTATTAATTCAACATCCATTCCTTAATTTACACTTAATGATCAAGATGGGGTTTCTGTATCTATTTAATTTTACTAATTTGAAAAACTGTAAGAAGACACAAAGAAATCTGCTGTAACTGGGCATGGAGGCAAAAGCCTTTAATCTCAGCACCTAGGAGACAAAAGTAGGCTGTACTGGGTGGTTTTATGTATCAACTTGACCCAAGCTAGAGAGGAAGGAGACTCAGATGAGGAAAGGCCTCCATGAGATCTAGCTGTAAGGCATTTTCTAAATTAGTGATCAATGGGGGAGGACCCAGACCATGGTGGGTGGTACCATTCCTGGGCTTGGTCCTGGGTTTTATAATGTGGGCTGAGTAAGCCATAGGAAGCAAGCCAGTAAGCAGCTTGCCTCCATGGCCTCTGTATCAGCTCCTGACTCTGGGATCCTGCCCTGTTGGAGTTCCTGTCCTGACTTTCTTCAGTGATAAACAGCAACTGAAGCCCTTTCCTCCCCAACTTGCCTTTTGGTCATGGTGCTACATCAGAACAATAGAAATCCTAAACTAAAACACAGGCAGTGGATCTTAGTGAGGTCAGCCTGGTCTACATAGCAAGTTCCAGTCCAGCTAGAGTTACATAATGACCCCATCTCACACACACACACACACACACAAAAAAAAGCAAAACAAAACAAAACAAAATCTCCTTTAAAAGCTTTGAAGGCACATAAGGCAAACCTTATCAGAATGAAATTCTATAATGTTACAGCAAAAGAATATTTGTACCTTTCAATAGATGCATTTATATGTATAAAAAACTTTGACCTTACCTTCTAAATACAGACAAAAATTATAAAAAGAAATGGATAACTAGATACCAAAGCACCCGCTTTTATCTTCTATTTAAATGGTGTTTGAATGTAGTAAGAGCTATGCCATTAAGTAAATAAATATTGAAAAAGGGATTTATCCCTCTAGGTTTCTTTATCTTTATTATTTTTTACTGTTGACAGGTACTTTTTGGGAGGTGGTATGAGAAGAAAGTTGGGCAATCATTAAAGTAACTCAGGCTGAGATATATGAACACATACACAGACATGAGTTGGGAGAAGGAATACAGGAGTTAGTGGGGGACATGGGATGGTAACAGATATGTGTTTGAATAAGATCAAAATAGTGTATATACATCCCACAAAAATGTTATAGTGAAACCCATTAATCAGGCATGATTATACATTCTAATAAGGGCACAACCAGCACCTGGTCAACATTACATTACTGGGGTAACAGCTTTGCTGACACCATCTTCTAGGAAGTCAAAACCTATATTTGCTTATTCACTTTTACACCACCTACCCTTTCCATCTTCCTTGCTGGTCACCTCAACTATCAGAAACCTTGCAATTTCAAGATGACTCTGAAAATGATATCATGGAACTATGAGACAAAAAAAACTGACTTCTGAGTCAGCAAGTCCTTGGGGAAGTATTTGCTACACAATGCTCCACATTGTGTAACATTCAAAAAGAATTCACACAGCTGAATCCCTTAGGAAGTGCCAAGAAGAGCACTATATGTGAAAATAACACGCACACACACCCTGATTTTAACTGAGCAACTGAAAAAGTCTATTTACAAACTGTAGGGTCCACAGGACTACAGGACAGTGCTTTCCTAACTGAATGGATCCTCAGACTCCAGTCTTCTAAAAGAAGAAAAACTATAAAACATGCACTCTTATTTTGGTAAATATTAACAAAATGTTCTATTCCCTCCTCTGATACTTTGCATGTTATCTAATATTATTCAGAAGATGTCTGGCAAGAACAGATGTAACTGTTTTACTTCATCAATTTTTTTTTTTTGAGAATGGATTTCTCTGTATAGCTTTGGAGGCTGTCCTGGAACTCAACTCTGTAGATCAGGCTGGCCTTGAACTCACAGAAATCCTCCTGCCTCTGCCTCCAGAGTGCTGGGATTAAAGGCGTGCACAACACCGCCCTGCTCACATCAAAACTATTAATGGTCTAGAAAATTTGGAAGTAGGTACAAGTAGTATGAACACAGTTGTAGATAAATAGTCCCTAGTATAAAACTCTTACTATTAAACACTTACTCAATAAAAAGTTGGTTTACTAAAGCCTCTTGGAGACCCTAAGCTAAAGTTCATACCTTGCTTTTCATAGCGGAAGAGTATGGGCCTAAGAACAATCCAGGCAAAACTTCCTAGGAAAAAAAATACATATGTAAAGTTTAAACCTGTAGCAAATACATACCATATAACTGTGTGTGAAGGGGCTTTGCAATATTCTGGTTAAAACTTGATTCAAGGAGCATTTTGTTTTTAATTTTTAAAAAATGCCTCAAAGAGAAGTCTTGCCATACAACAGGACTCACAAAGGGGGTTTATTGGAAGAGAGAGAAGGAGCAGGAGACGGGGCAGAGGTAGGGGCAGAGATTGGTCCCTAGGACAAGAGTGGTGGAAGAGGGGGGGAAGAGAGAGAAAAAGAAAGATGGGAGGTGGGTAGGGCCCTTTTAAAAGGAAAGGCAGTGAATGTGCACAGGGGGTGTTCTTAGTGGTTACAGCCGACGGCATATCCTGTCAGAACCCCAAGAGCAGGCTAGTACAGATGCCTGAATACTAACACTTTTCCCAGCCACATTTAGCAAACTGGTATGAGAAATACAGGTGCGCCTTTATAAATTCAAGTGAGACGTTCCTAATCTAAATTTTATTCTAAAAAGCCAGATATCTGAGATCCTGTAATGCTTTTTATAAGTAGGTTGGACAAAATCAGCACATTATATTATTGATGTTCACATTAATAAAACCTTTCTAGGTTCTACCCTCTGCTATAGCCTAAAAATAAAACAGGCATAAAGAAAAGCCTCCCTTTAGACATACACTAACTTTTTATTTGGTCAAAACAGAAGTAATACAAGAAAGAGCCAGGTATAGTGGAATGTATCTATAACCCCAGAACACAGAAGACTTTGAGTCAAGCTGGGTTACATAGTTCTAGGTCAGCAGGAACTCATGCTCAGACCCTGTTCTCACCTCAAAAACAAGCAGCACAGGATAAAACAGGACCCAACTGTCTTCACAGTAAACAAAAGCAAAACTAAGCTATTATTAACATAGCTAAGGCTGGCCCTGAACTCCAGGCAGTCCTCCTGCTTCAGTATCTTGAGTGCAGGAATGGACTCAACAGCATTTTACAAACATTAATTACATTTTACTTTTATTTACATTCCCCATAGCATCAAGTTAGTTCTCATATGTACTCACATTTAGCTAAAAGTTTCAAAGGGAAGTTTTTTTCTCTCCCCTTTTTAATGAGGCAGAGTTGGGGTTTGATAAAGCATAAGGGTTGAGAGAAAGAAACTCAGAAGCTAAGTAAGGCACTTGAGCAGTGGCACCTTTAGAACATCCATGCAGTGTTCTGACTTTGAATCTAATCCAAAATAGATAAATAATTCATTTCACATACTAAAATTTTATTGACACAAATAGCACATATTTACCATGTGATGTTCTAATGCACATATACATTATATAATATTCATAACTAGGTAAATATGACAAATCTACAGATCATGAGCCAGCAGGTCTCCTTTGTGAAGTGTTAGTTATTTAATAATAGGGGGGGTTGTCTTGAATAAATTAAAAGTTGTTGTACCTGCATCTCCCGTCTCATAGGATAAGTCCACTCCTTGAAAAGGAAAACAAGAAAATAAAAATAAGTATCATGAAAAATATCATGGGCTAGTAAGATAACTCAAGCCTAGTAATTGAATTTGATCCTTGGAAACCAGATGATAAGAGACTGGAATCCTGAAAATTATTCTCTGATCTCCAAATGCTTCCTGGACACAACTCAAGCACACGCACATGCGCGCGTGCGCGCGCACGCACGCACACACTCACATACTGTAAACAACAATAAACACATACTGTAAACAACAATAAAACACAAAGATGTGACCAAAAAATTAAGATCCATGGCCAGCAAATAGCAAGCTTGTAAAAGGTGCTTGCCACATGCAAGCCTGTCTGAGGGAAGTCAAGGCAGGAACTCAAACCAGAGGGGAACCTGGAGACAGGAGGTGATGCCCAGCCCATGGAGGAGTGAGTGCTGCTTATTAGCTTGCTCCTCACAGCTTGCTCAGTGTACTTCCTCAGATGAGTATAGCTTGTGTCAAGCTAATATAAAATTAGCAGCACAGTACCTTAACTATCAGTGCTACAAACTCAGAAAACCCATTTTTTTCAAGCACAAGAATAAACAGAAGGCAATGACATACAAAAATATCTCTGGAAAGGTGGCTCAGCCATCAGGACCAGAGCTCTGATCCCAGTGCTCATGTCACAAGCCAGAAAACCCAAAATCCATTCAACTCCAGCTCTGAGATAGACACACACAGAAGGACTGCTTGAGTTTCCTAGATTCTAGCTTTGCTAAGAAAACATGAGACCCAGTCTGAGGCAGTGACCCTGCTGAGAACAGGCAGAGTGATAAAGGACTGTGTGTGCATACACATGACCGTTTATGCACACAGATAAGGTTTTATAAACTTTAAAGATTTCTTCCAAGCTGGGCATAGTAATGCACACCTTAAATCCCAGCACTCTGGAAACAGAGGTAGGTGGCTCTCGATGACTTCAAGGCCAGCCTGGTCTACACATTGTTCAGGCCAGCCAGGACTACGTAGTGAGATCCTGTCTCAATAAACAAACAAATAAATAAATGATTGGAGATGTCATTCTGAAAATGTTTCTTGTATTGGTTAATAAAGCACTGTTGGCCAATAAGAAAGCAAGATAGGTGGGACTAGGAGACAAGGAAGATTCCGGAAGGAGTAGGGAGGAGATTCAACATGGAGGACAGAGAGCAGAATGTCAGGCCCTCTCTCCGGTATGATGAGACCACATGGAAATACTTAGATTGATAGAAATGAGTTAATATTTAAGATAAAGCTAGCCAATAAGAAACTAGTAACTGGCCAACAGCTTTATAACAAATACAGTATCTCTGTGTGTTATTTGGGGCTGGCCCAGCTCTGGGGCCAGACCGGCAAGGAAACTACTCATAACGAACGAATGAATGGATAAATAAATAAGTAAAGCAAATGAAAGGTCCCAAACTCCCCCCAACTTATTACTTTTACTGATTTTATTTGGAAATTTCACATCATACACACTGATGACACTCACTTTCTAGTCCTCCCAGGTCTATCCGCTACTTTATAAACCCCACCACCACCACCAAAAAAGGGAAGAAAACAAAACACGACTAATTTGTGTTGCCTACATACTCACTAGAGCATGCTCAAACTCCCAGTAGCCATCCCCTTAAAGAAAACCAAGTCTTTCCCCACTGGCACCCATGCCAGAAGCCCTCAGTTGCAGAATTGCTATACTTCGGCATCATTACCACAATGTTCAAGAGTTCTCTTCAAAGCCAGGAGATGATGGTGTTCACCTTTATTTCCAGCACTCAGGAGGCAGAGGCAGGCAGTTCTGAGTTCAAGGCCAGCCTGGTCTACAGAGTGAGTTACAGGACAGCAGGGGCTACACAGAGAAACTATGTCTCGAAAACCAAGAGTTCTCAACAGTTCCTGTCTAGGCTGTCACTTTGTGGGGGGGGGGGTTGGAGTAGTAATTGTTACAGAAATCTTCCATGTCCCTCTTTCTAACTAAGTCTGCAGTCACTGATGCCACTGAAAAAGTAGCTTCCTTGCCTTTTATAGTCAGAAGGCATGGATCATAGGTATCCACATGGTCTCTGGTGGCAGTAAAGACAACGGACATCAGCACAGCTCTCTGTCAAAAAATGAGCCAAAGGCCATCACAGCCCTCAGTGGCATCAACATGGACTCAGGAGCAATACAGGCTAAGAACACCAATATGGTCCCCTGCAGCACCCAGCCCATGAACAGCAACAGGGCCCTCAGCAGCAGCAGCATGGCCCACAAACATCAACAGCACAGACTATGGACATCTGCATGGCCTTTTGTAAGTCCCTGCATATCCAGACCCCCCTACCTCCTGCTGGTAGTAGAAACAGACATCTGTATGGCCCTCAGTGGTAACACAGAGCCTTCTCTCACACCTGTCATCACTATAGAATCTCTAGTTAGCCTTTCCATTGCATGTGCACCTCTCTGTCCCTCCATCTTTCCCACCTCTCCCATTTTATATTCCTTCCTCATAGTGACAGTGGAAACTACAGTGTGTCACACAGCACATCATTTTGCCCAAATAGCTTTACATGCAAACATGACTATAAGTTCTTGGTCTGGTTCAAGGTCTCTGGTTTCTGTCACACCATAAATATTGGACCAATGCCAGAACTCATCATAGATATTCTGCTGTTGCTCAGAGTCAGAGTGATTCTGCTCTACCTTTGTGCTTGTAGCCTGCAAGCAGTACCACTGCCTCTCCTCTCAAAAAAGGGCAGGCTGCTCTAGGCTGGAGACAGCCAGCAGGCCCAGGACCACAGCATTCAATGATGACATCTGGTTCTGCAGGACCAGTTCCTCCATGTGCTCCAGAAGCTTGTAGATGGCAATGTTGGGATGAACCAACTCAAAGTGCTAGATCTGGGTCTGCAGAGTTGGTCAGCCTTTGAGGGATTTCCACCACCCTTGAGGGGCTCCAAAATTTTTCATTTATTTATTAATTTTGTTTTGTTTTGAGATAGGGTTTCTCTGTGTGGCCCTGGTTGTACTGGAACTCACTGTGTACTGGACTCACTAGGCTGACCTGGAATGCAGAGATTCACCTGTGCCTGCTTATAGAGAGCAACCTGGAAGATTTATTTATGAACTTTATGCATATGGTATTTTATCTGTATGTATAATTGCACACCAGAAGAAGACATCAGATTCCATGGGACTATAGTTATAAATGGTTGTGAGCCACCATGAGGGTGTTGGGAATTGAACTCAGGACCTCTGGAAGAACAGCCAGTGCAATTAACCTCTGAGGCAAGGTCTTACCCTAAGCCACATTCATGACACTTTTATTTTGGTTTTTCAAGACAGGGTTTCTCTTTGTGTAGCCCTACCTGCCCTGGAACTAGCTCTGTAGACCAGGCTGGCCTCAAACTCACAGAGATCCACCTGCCTCTGCCTCCCAAGTGCTGGGATTAAAGACATGCACCACCACCACCTGAGTTAGAATTTTATTTTTTAAAGATTAATTTTTACTGTTTTATGTGTATTAGTGCTTTGCTGGCATGTTTGTGTGTGTACCATGTGTTGCCTGGTTCCCTCAGAGGCCAGAAGAGATCATCTATCTCTTGGAATTGGTGTTGACAGTTGTGTGCTACTATGTAGGTGGTCCTCTGCAAGAGCAGCAAGTGCTCTTAACTTTTCTCAGGGCCCTTTCTCCAGCCCTGAGAATCTTACTTCTGAGTCTAGATAACCTGGATCCAGACTTTGCTCTCTTTTTTGAGACAGGCTTTCTCTGTGTAGCTTTGCAGACCAGGCTGGCCTCAAACTCAAGAGATCTGCCTGCCTCTGCCTCCTGAGAGCTATAATTAAGGCATGTGCCACCATTGCCTGGCCAGACTTTGATCTCCCAATCAGTACATCTCTATTCAGCATTTCAATGTGAAAAAGAACCTTATGGAAAATATATCTTAAAACCAAGACTGATTGCACAAAATTAATAATTATAAATAATGAGGCTAACAGAATAGAAGAGCATGTGATTTTCAAGTCATTACAAAGACAATATATCCAAACTTCAAATTTACCTGCTTCTTCATTTACCAGTAGATAATGGTTATCTTTTACATAAAAAAGTTTTAATAATTTAGGTCAAAGGTCCTGTCTTTTAATGATGGTATCCCTAATATTGACATTCTGCAGCACTGGCTGACCTACTGGCATGGAACTCAGGGACCCACCTGCCTACCTCTGCTCCAGAGTTCTGGGATTAAAGGTATGTACCAAAGACTTTCAACTCACTTAATAGCCAAACATTTCCTGAAGTTACTTGTTACAATTATAAAATAAGCAATTTAAGAAATGGGTTACGTAAAATGAAAACTATTGTGTGTAGTTAAAGAAATAAAATAGATGGGGAGGTAGTAGTGGTGCCCACCTTTAATCCCAACACTTTGGCAGTGGACACAGGTAAATGTCTGAGTTCAAGACCAGTCTGGTCTCCAGAGCTAGTTCCAGGACTACATAGAAAAATGCTGTGTTGAAAAACCAAAACGTGAAAATAAATAAATAAATAACAATATAGAAATAGTGTACAGGGGCTGGAGAGATGGCTCAGCAGTCAAGAGCACTGGCTGCCCTTCCAAAGGTCCTGAGTTCAATCCCCAGCAACCACATAATAGTTTACAACCATCTGTAATAAGGTCTGACGCCCTTTTCTGGCATGCAGGTATAAATGCAAAGCACTTGTACATAAAAATATTAATCAATTAAAAAAATAGTGTACAGATCTTCTGAGGGATACTTGTGTAGGAGAGAAAAATCTCTCTATACTTTAGTGCAGTGGTTCTTAACTTTCTTCACGCTGTGACCCCTTAATACAGTACCTCATAATATGGTGACCCCAACCATAAAAGTATTTTCTTGCTACTTCATAACTGTAATTTTGCTACTGTTATGAATTGTAATGCAAATATCTGATGCCCCCCTCCCACCCGCAGGTTGAGAACCACTGCTCTAGGGTATGATAAAAATGGAGACTATGAAGTAAATAGATTAACAAGAAAAAGGTACACAAATGTTAGGTGCACAGAGTAAACATCCAACACAAGTGATAATTTAGGAGCTTTAAGCTGAGCACATGGTGGTACCTGCCTGCAATCACAGCACTTAGGAGTCTGAGATAAGATAGTTAACAGCTTTGAGATTTTGTGTGTGTGTGTGTGTGTGTGTGTGTGTGTGTGTGTGTGTGTGTGTGTGTGTGTGCGCGCGCGCGCATTCTAAGAGACAATCAGATGTGAATGAACTCTTAGAACAGGTGATAGCTTGTGATAAATCTGGGTTTGCTATCCACTTCTTTTCCTCTGTAAGTAAGTTAAGTTTCTGTCATTTACTAAACTCCCTGAGAAGGAACTAAATTCCTTTTGCAAGATCTATCTCTAGGCAACAGAGGAGCATTCAGGAAGCCTCTTCTACATCTGCTATTTATATATATATCAAAGTAGCCTGTACAGTATTACTTTGTGGTGGACTTTCCCAAACTCCTTCAATTTAGTTAGAAGCTAGAACTCAAAGCTAAAGTACTTCTTTAAAGTACTTCCCCTCCCCAAAAGATTTAATTAGGTATAGGGAGATAACTTAATAATGATAAGCTATTAAAAGGGAAAAAAAAGGAACATAAATGATATGATGAAATTTTTTTTGCTTTTAGTTTTTCAAGACAAGGTTTTCTGTGAGTTTTGGCTGTCCTCTGTAACTTCCTCTGTAGACCAACCTAGGCTGGCCTCAAACTCAGAGATCCTTAAACTCAAGGGCATATGGCAGCGCCTGGTTCTTTACCTCATTTAAACAAAACCAATATTCAAACTCATTTCAAACTTTCTAAGATTGTAGATAATAACCCATGATACACTGTCTCCATATTTATGTTAAAAAAGTTATTATAGGAGGGCATGGTGGCATATATCTTTAACCCCAGCATCCAAGAGGCAGAGGCAAATGAATCTCTAAGTTTGTGGTCAGCCTGGTGAATTTATAGTGAATTCCAGGACAGCCAGGGCTACAAAGAGAGACCCTGTTACTATTAATAATAATAATGATAAAAATAAATCACAAGAGTGAAAAGCAAATTGTATATCAGGAAGAGGATAGAAAGCCATTTCCATTCACAGGTCAAATACATATATAACCTTATTTGGAGAATATCAAGCCTCACTAAAATAAAACATGGATCTTTGAAACCTAGAAATGTCCAGAGAAAATTTCATTTGAAACTATTCCTGTTGCCATCATCAGATCCCAATCTTCAAGAGCTGTCTTATCCTAATCCTACAGTTAGTTATGTTTTGGGTATGGTTTGAGAGTATTCACCAAGGAATACGTGTTGAAATGTCTATTAGGAGAAATTCAAAGGTGGAAAATCAGTACAACTACAGTGCTGGAGGGGCCTCTGAAAAGTGATTAGGTTTAAATAGTGTTATTAGCATAAGCCTTATGACTATATCCTGAGTAAGAGGAAGAGCAGGTTACTGACAGACAAGACAGACTAACGGCTATACAGACAGAGACAGACACACATACACACTCACACATGTGTCATTCTTTGTCTCTTGTAATATGATGCTATGTACTACCTGGGGTCTCTACCAACAAGGCAATTACTAGATGAAGGCCCTTGACCTTGCACTTGAGGATAAGCCCATATAAGTCTTTAAAAAACAACAAAAATCCTACACTGGGCTAGATATCGTCAGCCCATTACTTTTTCTTGTCTCTCTTCGGGGGTGGTAGTGGTGTCCTGCATCAAGGCTGAAGTAAGCCTGGAATAGGACTTACTATTAGCCCAGAGTAGTCAGTCTGGCATGGTATTTGTGCCAATCCTTTTGTCACCTCCCAAATGTTGGGATTACAGCTATGAACCATCATGCTTGGCTTTCAATTATTCACTGTTTTTTTTTTGGGGGGGGATATAGATGTGTGTATGTGTGTGTGTTTATGTATACATACATATACAGAGGTGAGAAGTAGTAGTATGGGAGATTAAAGTGGTCTGGGACAAAGAGAAGGGTAAGAAAAGTTGGCAAAAGACAGGAAAAGCTTCTCTGAAGTACTGTCTAAACCAGGTGGTGTTGGCACATGCCATTAATCCCAGCATTTGGGAGGCAGAGGCAGGCAGATCTCTAGGCCAGCCTGGTCTAAGAGATGAAGTTCCAGGACAGCCAGGAATACAGAGAGAAACTGTGTCTCGAAAAACAAACAAGCAAAAAATAAAATAAGTATTGCTTAAACTTAAGTCAAGTTAAGCAGTGAAGAATCCTTCACACACACCCCATTTCTTGTGTAGCCCTGGCTATCCTGGAACTCACTATGTATATAGACAAGGGTAGTCTCAATCTGGTGGAAATCTGCCTGCCTCTTCTTCAAGAGTAGAGAATATTGGTATTAGAAGTGTGCACTACCATGCTCAACTTAAAATCTCTCTTCTTAACTTACACTTTTTGTGTGTGTGTGGAAGAAAATTGTTGGTTGTTTTTGATGCCTTACATATATCACTGGGAAATTATAAATGGATGTTAATTAGATATACCCTATTATTCCCAGTAAGAAGTTATAGCTGTTGCAGGGAATAAATATACGATAAACACAATAAAAGGTGAAAATTTTAAATACAACTTCTAAGAATAGGGGAGGGAAGAATTACAGCATATTTAAAAAGCTTAAAGAACTAGGAGTCAAGATTCTCAGGTCACTATGTACTATGACACACATTCGTGCACACGTTATGTGTACACACACACACACACACACACACACACACACGCTCCTATGTGCTCTTGTTCCAACCAATGCCTTAGTGGAGGTCGATCGGAAGGCTGCATGTGGGAGTTGGTTCTCCCATCATATTCCAACACAAAGGAAATTGCATGTAGAACTGAAATTGTGTGTGTGTGTGTGTGTTTTTTTTTTTTTTTTTTTGAGACAGGGTTTCTCTATGTAGAGGCCAGGCTGGCCTCTAACATGAGATATGCCTGCTTCTGCTTCCTGAGTGCTGGGATTAAAGGTGTGAGCCACAACAGCCTGGCTGAAATTATTGTTATTTGAAGACAAAAAAGTATACCTCAGCCAGGCAGTGGTGGCTCATGCTTTTAATCCCAGTACTTGGGAGGCAGAGGCAGGCGGATCTCTGTGAGTTCAAGGCCAGCCTGGTCTACAGAGCTAGTTACAGGACAGCTAGGGCTGTTACGCAGAGAAACCACCCTGTCTCAAAAACCAAAAAAGAAAAAAAAAGTATACCCCTTATTCACAGTACAATTTCCTTTTTTATGGTTCAACTTAAAATATATCCAAGTCTCAAGCATCAACACTACAAATAAGGGAGAATCCTCCAAATACCTCTAATTTTATTGGGAGATCAGGAGTTAAAGGACATCCTTGGCCTTCCAAATGCCTCTAATTTAGTTGGGAGATCAGGAGTTAAAGGACAACCTTGGCTACAGCAAATTTCTGGCCATACAAGACCTTGTCTTAAAATTAAAAATCGTTTAAAAAAAAAAAAAAAGAAGCCAGGTTTGGTGGTGCACACCTTTAATATCAGTACTCAGGAGACTGAGACAGGTGGACCTCTGAGTTTAAGACCAGACTGCTGCACACATACAGAGTGTTCCAAGACAGCCAGGGCTACAAAGAGACCATGTCTCAAAAACCACCACAACAAAACAAACACAAAAAAGTAAACATCAAATGAAGACATTAAATAGAATTGAGTATTTGGTATAAACTCAATCCAAAAATAGCAATTACTTTTTGAGGCAGGGTCTCATGTAACTCAAACATGCTATACAACTGAGACTGCCTTCAACTTCTCATCTTTCTCCTTCCACGTCCCAAGTAGTGGAAATACATGAATCTGGCAGCCATGCCCTGGCCCAAATACCTTAGGGGGACTAAAGGGTGCACACCTTTAATCCCATTACTTGGGATATAGAGGCAGGTGGATCTTTGTGAGTTTGAGGCCAGCCTGGTCTACATAGTGAGTTCCTGGGCAGCCAAGGCAATGTAGCAGACCTGGTCTCAAAACACAAAACTCTACAAAGTGTCCCAGCTAAGAATCCTTGTCGTGTTCCCAACAACCTATAGTGAACTCCAAGTTAATTCTGATACCATAAAATATTTGTATCAGAAGGGGGAAATCTCTGCAAATGTTAGGTAAAGAAAAATCAAGGTGAGATGAAAGAACTCTGAATTACGGAATCGGGAGGTCAAGGTATTTTGCTCCCAACAGAAACTTTCCTCTAAGGGCATGATTTGTGACTAAAAGTTTTAAAATTCAAAGAAGCTAGTTTTGTGACTTGTACTTTTCAGTTGGATATAGTTTTGTTTTGTTTTGACTTGGGGGAACTATTAAGTGGGTGCAATTCCAGAGTTCACGCCCCAGTCTATTCCACACGTGGGGCCATGTGTCCGGTATGTGAACCTCAGATTAAAAACAACTCCACAGCGTGTTGCTTTGGCAATCAAAAATGAGTCTGTTTTCAATAGATCCTCAACGCCGAAGGCGAGAGGCCAGGGGTACTCTTCAGGTTGGGTACTCCACCAGGACCTCACGGATGCCCACCAAGGGTTAGAGAGAAGCATCTACGACGGTTGGGCCAGGGTCGTGGCTCGGCCGGGGTCCCGGGGGCGGCCTGCGGCGGGACGGGCACTCACCTCGGTGTCGTCTTTGCACTGTGGGAGCGAAGGAAACTCCAGCTTCACGTCCTCCATGGCCCCAGGGCCCCAGCGGGTGGGCGCGGCGCGAGAGACAGCGGTGCGCCCGACCGCCCCCCGGGCTGGCGGAGGCAACGAGGGAAGGAGGGCAGGCGGACGGCGGGCTCACAGCGAGCACTCGGGGACCACGGGGTCCGGGCGGCTGCGACAGGAAGGCGGAGGGCAGGGCGGCGTACTGCCGGCCGCCATGCTGCGGCCGTCTCCCTCCCGCAGGTCTTCGCGCCCCTCAGACAGCCGGGATCCGGCCCAGGCACGAGCCCATAACCGTCTCCTCCCGCCCCCACCCACGCGCCACAGCCAATCGCAGCCCACGCTCGCCGACGGCCCGCCCCCGCCGCCGCCAGGTGTCAGCGCGCCTCCGCCCAGCCCGTCCGCGAGCGCGCAGACGCGCGGGGGGAGGGGCCTCCTGCGGGGCGGGGCGGGGCGGGGCCGCGGCCGGAGGAAGGGAGGCGAGGTCCCGGGTGAAGGCCGCGGGCTGTCAAGTCAACTAGGCCTTCCCAGGGCTGAGTCCCTTCACAATGCCTGCCAGGACTCAGAAGGAATGCTGCCCAATCCGTGGGGGAAGTTATATCCCAAAACGGAAGAGCTAGTTTAAATTCATGTTAGACTACGCAGAAAACGAGATATATTTCTCCTTAAAACAATTTAAAGTGGTCTCTTAGTAATACTCCGGAGTTGTAAACAACTCAGATTACCCAGAAAATGATGAATAGAAAAAGTCACCACTAATGATAGCTCACTTAACTAAGATTTCTCCCTTTGAGTTAGATTTCAACATATAACATGATAGTGTATGACAGCTTCTGTTAGAGTTTCTTTTTTTTTTTTTTTTCCCGAGACAGGGTTTCTCTGTGTAGCTCTGGCTGTCCTGGAACTCACTGTAGACCAGGCTGGCCCAGAACTCACAGAGAGCCACCAGAGGTATGTGCTGTAAGCACCACCACTGATCTCTCTGAATTCGAGGCCAGCCTGGTTTACAGAGCAAGTTCCAGGTCAACCTAAAAGCAATACAGAGAAACCCTGTGTCGAAAATCAAACAAACAAAAAAACATGAACAAAAAATACTTCCTCAGGATCTCACTATGTCAACGAAGCTGCTGGTATTTAAACTGACAAGCTCTACTTGCCTCCTGGGACTAAAGGTGTGCACCATCAGACCCTGCTATAACTTCTGGAGAAACTTAGGTCTTACTGAAGGGAGCATTGATTGGCTACAAGGTGTGTAACACTCGCCATTTTTCATTGTATTTTAAAGAGTACTTTCTAGAGACCTTGGGACTTAATTATTATTAAAAATCATCCTTTTAAAAGTGTCAGACCTATATGGGCATTTTAACTTAGATTTACTCTCAATCTCTTCTTCTCGTTTCATAGATGCTCAAACAGAAGAATTGTTCAATAATTAGTGTTCCATGTTCTCTAGTACTACAGACTAATATCCAGCTTTAAAAATTATAGAAGACATGGAATACCCTGCTAGTAATTTTTCATAAAAAATAATCAGATGGTAGGTATGGTAGTGAATGTCTATAATCTCAGCACTCAGGAAGCAGAGGCTGGAGAATGGGAGTAGAGGCAAAGCCTAATCCACATAGTGATTACCTGTCTACATAGTGAAAACCTGTCTCTAAAAGAAAGGGGGAAAAAAAATTAGGTAGCTAGCAAGGTCACTTATGGTTAGTCCTTTGGTATTTAGAAACTGAAGTTTGATGTCCTTTATTTAAATACTCTTAACTACAAATAATGTTAATCTTTAGGCAATGATGATTTCCTTATATAATTGATTACCACATGAAATCAAAAAGAGTTGTTCAACAGCTAACAGAATTTCTGTTCAACATTTCTGACATTAACATTCCCTAAAGTAAACATATTTATAGAATTCATTGGTGAGCCTAGAAATCATGTATATACAAAATTATGTATCTATGTAATACAGATTGTTCCTGGATCCAGAACACAACACCATCATAAGGAAACTATTGTTTTTTCACATTGACAAAATTAACTATAAACAGTACTTCTAATCATAAACAAGTTACAATTAACCATTGAATAGCCTAACTGCAGTAGGTGAAGAGTAAGTACTTCTTGGCAGATACAAATGCACATCTAAGACAATTTTGTGGACTTTGTACTGTTTGAATAAAATTCAAACACCTATCTTAATTTTCAATTTCAACCACGCTCTCAAATCATTTACTTACTGAACCAGAAAGACTAGAATAAATGTGCTCTTAGAAAAGACAAGAATATATATAGGATAACTAAAACATTTTATTCCATTTTTTTCAGGATGAGGAACACAAAATATAAATGCTCTCCTGTACTATCTCAAACCATTTGAATGTTGTACAAAATGCTCACAAAGCAAATATGAAAAGCTTCAACATGTCTTTTGTAAATATTGCTGCAGTAAATGCAACATTAACATACAACTTTTTTCTGTATCAATTTTAAAAGAATTACTAAATTACATACTATTATGTTGCTCATACATGTTTATTCACTTTTAATGAGATCACTGCCAATACATACATTATTTTCCTTAACTTTATTTTTACATTAAGTCAATGTCTGTCATGCAGCCATCAAAACCTTGATAGTAAATCACACAGGTTTGTAGTCCAGTTTGGACTCCAGCTTCTTAGAGTCTGCCACTTTTCTGACTGCTTTCATGAAGTCTTCCTGAACTACAAAGTCATGATCCGCACGAATGGCAAACATACCTGTGGAAAACAAAACAAAATTGCAGCTTATCTGATGTGAATTATATATGCCTAGGAAAACCAGGCTGGGAACAGTGGCACATGCCAATAATCTCAGCACTTAGGGGATTGAAACAGGAGGATTGCAAATTTGAAACCAGCCTGGGCAACATGTCAAGACCTGCTCTCAAAAGAAAAGATGAAGAAAACTATCTAATCTTAATTCTGTGGAGTAAATGTGAGGATGTATAGTTACTGCTTCTGATCCAATAAAGTCACTCTCTCCATTTAAATTTTTTCATAAGTAGAGTAAGCATTACATTTTAAATGAAGCATATAACACAATTATCTGAATATTTAAATCTGGATTGTTTAATGGTAATTCTTTTTTTTTTTTCCTTAAAAAGAGTTATTATTATGTATAGTGTTCTGTGTGTATGTATGCCTGCAGGCCAGAAGAGGACACCAAATCTCATTACAAATGGTCGTGAGCCAATATGTGGTTGCTGGGAATTAAACTCAGATCCTCTGAAAAGCAGCCAGCACTCTTTGAGTCATCTCTACAGCCCTCCATGGTAATTCTTAATTAAAAACATCCAAAACTATCAAGACTTACACATTTTAGGCTGAAGTTTCTTAGCAGCATATACAATGATTCTCCAGAAGAACAAAACACCTAGGCTAGGGGTGTGCAACAGATTGGATGTTGCTTAACATATGCAAGGTCTTGGATTTGATTGCCGGCAATGCAAAACTAAACAACCAACTTTCAATAATTTTGGTAATGATTACCTGTCACTAAGCAAGGCTTAAGGTTGGGGATATAGCAGTCAGTAGAATAATGCCTAGATTGTAAAAAGGTGGTACAACATCAGCACTGAGTGCTATAACCCTGTCTCAATAATAATAATAATAATAATCATCATCATCATCATCATCATCATCATCATCATCATCATCATCATCATCATCCAGATTTGTATTTAAGAACTTCATTTTAAACAAATTGCAGGGCCAGAAACTTTTAAAAATAAACCTTTCAAATATCCATGGAACTGGTTCTGCAATTCAGCCTACAGTCCTGCAATTCAGTCTTCTTACATCATGCTTGTGGGCCATCAGAAAGTGCTTAGGAGATAACCCCAAGGGCAGATTTCGTCCACTAAGAGAGGAATGCTGGTAAATAAATGTTTTTTTAGCCCCACAATCCTCAAAGGAACTGTGTGGGTTTCTCTAAGACCCCTTACAAGAAATCAAAATTGACTACTATTGTTGTTCATTCTGCTTCTTGATATCAAATCACAAAACACAACAACACAGATCCTGTCAAGATTTTAGATAAATTTACATTATCAGTGGTAAAAATATGCTTTGTAGTCTCACCTGCTTCAGTACAAACATTTCTCAGGTCTGCCCCATTAAAGCCATCTGAGAGCTTTACAATTGCTTCATAATCTGTTTAGAAAAAGAAAAATAGAAGTTAATAAGATAATAGTAATAATAAAGACCCAATCTTAGTTTTTGCCCACAGTGAAAACTTAAATGGAATAGTTCATTTGATTTTGATTAGCATTACCCTTGCTACTATTTTGCAACATTAACAACTAAAACTAAATAAAAACTAAAGAGACATACTTCTGATTTTTTAACAACAACAACAAAAAAATGTCATCAAGAGGTGAAGGCAATGGTAGTGCATGCTTTAATTCCTGCACTTGGGAGGCAGCAGGTCTATAGAGTGAGTTCCAGGACAGTTAGGGCTGTTACAAAAGAGAACGCCTATGTCAAAAACAAACCAACAAAATGAACAAAGATTTGAAGGCACCTGCTTTTAAGCAGTTAAAAAAAAAAAAAAGTAACTACTAAGCTGTGACTCATTCATTAGACCTATTACACACCTGTAATCAACTCCAAGACTCAGGAAGAATGGCAGGAAGAAAAGCTCCTAGTGAAGAAAGCATCACTATAGACCTCAGTTCAACCACCACCACTCCAGACACACATATAAAGGCCCTTTCCTGCAAATCTATAAGCAGCTAATGGTTACAGGAGGGAGAGATATTTTATTCAGTGGCTTAAACCACTGGAAAAGTATTCATACTTTTGTATGAATGAAACTCACTGGGTCAGGGACTAGAAAGGTGTCTGCTAGCAGACCTGAGTTTGATTTCCAGTACCCACAAAGTGGTTAACAACTGTTTATAATCGCAGTTCCAGGCGCTCCAAATTCCCTCTTCTGGTTTCTGTGAGCACTGGCACACTCATGGTACCCAGACATACATGAAGACAAAACACTATATACATAAAATAACCATGCACATAAAATAATAGTCATCCATGCATGGTGATGCATGCCTTTGATCCCAGCACCCATGAAGCAGAGGCCAGTCTGGTATACAGAGTGAGTTCCACAACAGTCAAGGCTCTACAAAAAAACCTTGTCTCAAAAAACAAAACAAAATAAAAAAATAAATAAAATCTAGAGGAAGGAAAGGGTACAAAAGAAGAAACGGGGTGAATATGATCAAAATACAAAAGAAACACACATACACATATGAAAATGG